ACTTAAAACCCCAGCGCTGGGGGGGAAAGACACAGAAGGATCCCTGGGGCTCACTGGACAGATGGTCTAGCTTCAGCTGTGAGCTCCATGCCAGTGGAGAGTGATGGAATCACTCTCCAAACGAAGTTGATGGGATTACTCGGGATGATGCCCTAAGTTGTCTCGGGCTCATACGTGAGCTTGCGCATACACACAGACACACAGACACACACACTTAACAAAACTATTGCCAGATGTGGTGGTGCATCCTCTAATCCCAACATTTGGGAGGGAAAGGCAGATGGATTTCTGAGTTTGAGTCTAGCCTGAGATATGTACTTAGTTGCAGGCCAGCCAGGGGTATATAAAATGATGATGATGATGATGATGATGATGATGATGATGATGATGATGATAAATCAAGTAACAACAAAAGTCTGTTAATACCAAGTAAAAAAGGAGTACAAGAAGCCATTTATCTGGAACCTCATAATGGGGCTATATAATAGTTTAACTTGAATGCTTCTTGAGTTAAAAAAAATTTTTAAGTTGGAAAGGTGTGTGTGTGTGTGTGTGTGTGTGTGTGTGTGTGTGTGTGTGTTGCTGTCTGTCTGCCTACCTGCCTGACTGTCTTTCTGTCTGTGTAATTTTTAATTTACCAAGGCATCCTGTGAGGGCTCGGGGCTTCGTTTTGTTGACAGTTCTGGTAATCCATCACCCTCCTGGTAAGACTGAACCTGTGTTTCCTATCACAAGCAGGGCAGCCTGCAGTTAAGGCACCATTTGCTGGTAAGGCATCCCACAGGGTTCAAATCCACAATTTCGCTTAAATAGTCTATCCTCTAGCCAAATGAGCTAATCAGCCCCCCGGGGGGGGGTGGCAGGATACACGCATTCATCGCAAGCACTGACGTGTGAGGCTTCAGGGTCGCTTCATTCACTGACAAAATCATGACGGATGGAAATAGTCCCTCTGTGTAGTTGTTCTTGTTCTTGTGAACGCATCGGCTCGACACTGGAGAAGGAGGTTCTTTCCTACAGTCACAAAGTCTCGTGCTCAAAATCGGAGCACAACTCCCTGCAGGAAGATTCTACGTTCAGACCAAATGCATAAGGTTGGAAAAAGTGTGATGTTTTAATGCCGACCTACATAGGTAGAACAGAAGTGAAGGCTTCTGCGTGGCACGGCTCCACGGGCTGCTGCTCTGCTCTACCAGAATGGGCATCCTGGCATCCTGCACCCCCAGACACATCTCATGCAATCTCTCAGATACTGTGCTCCTGAAAATTACCACTAGCCTTTAGAGATGCAAGGGTGGAGGCTTCCAATATCCATTGTGGTTTTAAAAGTTAATCTTAGAACATGTGTAAAGAGGAATTAGATAGAGCGTCAGTCCCTGTATGTTGTGTGTTACACAGACACATAACACACCCTGGATAGTGTATGTTGATAGTTAATGGGCCCAGCAGACTAGAGAGCATAGAGGCCTCTCTTTTTACAGATTCTAAAATAGTTGATGTTTGACTCTGCTTCGGTCAGATTCTAAAATAGTTGATGTTTGACTCTGCTTCGGTCAAACGTTTTCACCCCAGCTGAGGAAAGAGCTGGTGTTTGACCATGACAACCTCAAGACTCACACTTCCAGTAATAGTAGCTACTAACACCAACATGTTTCTGAAAAGAGAAAGTGCTTACTTTTAACAACAACAAGGAGAGGAGTTAAGAAATACTATTTGGTTTACTTCCAGGAATGCCTTGTTTAAAACAGAAAACAAAACAAAGCGAAACCATGCACCTCTAGCAAGCCCTGAGAAGCTTGTTCAAACCGCAGATTTATTTCATCTTTTCAGCCTTTGCTTAGTTTGGGATGAGGATGTGTTTCTCCCTTGAAAGTCCAAGAAGTTGATTACCCATTGCCCCCAAGTATTGTGTAATGCCTCCAAATAGTTCTCCTGGAGCCTGCTTCCCATCACCACTGTGAATTTCACAACGTGTTTCCAAATGTGCTTTTAGATATTTTTAGCCCAAGCACTATGCTCCAATATTGTAAACCCTTGTATTCAAGGGGGCTTGGCAAACACTCATGCAGGGCTAGTTTCTTCTCTAGTTATATTGCTTTTTGATATAAAATATCAAATCTGCATCCAGAAATGGCTACACTCTGCGAAGACTTCTTCAGATGGCTTTTCCATATTCTTTTTATGGAACCTTCACATTTTACCTTTGGAAAGAACTTAGACAGTATTAGCTGTAACTTCCTAAGGTTACAGAAATAGAAAAGAGGAAAATCCTATTCCAGCACCCTGTAGCTTGTGAGTGGAAGAGCCAAGACTGTGAGTCAATAGTCTCGCTTCCAAATCTAACATCTTCATTTTATCCCATCGTTGCTCTTCATGATATTAGTATGGCCTCTGTCTAGGCCCAGCCTCTACCCTCTGGGAGCCACTGTTTTCTCTTGCCCTCCTCTGATTTCATGGCTGCTGACCAAGGCAGTGGGATAGACAGCTGTGGAGTCCCTTGAATTGGAAAAATCTGGGAACTTCCCGGAGTGTGTTGCCTACTTGGAGAAAGAGACAACTAAGCTATCACACACCCTGGCACCGGAGCACAGGGGGTAGGGATGTGCTGTGGTACTCAGAAGAGAAAGGGTGTTAACTGTCCACAGAGTTGGGGAAACTTTGAAGAACAAGTGAGAGTCTCGGGGGATGCTGGAGTCCGCTTAGCAGAAAGGGAACACACAAAGACAAGCTAAGTGGAGGATGAGAAAGGGGAGGAAAGGAGGGGGGGTATTTACCAAGTGTTGGAATATCTGTTTATTACAACATCCATATGAGATGAGAATATCCCCACACACACACTCACGCATGGTTGATGAACGAGAAGACCCCCCCTCACACACACACACATGGTTGATGAGAATACACACACACACACACACACATACACATGCCAGGTCTCGGAGCACCAGGCATGCACGCAGGCAAAACACCTACATATAAAAATAATAAAATACATTTTGAAAAAAAATATTTAAAAAAAATACTGAATGTTTGACTCCTTTATTTGAAGGAGGGAGACAGAGAGAGATAGTGAGAGAGAAGAGACAACGTGTGCGTACATAGTCGTGTGTATGTGATGTGTCTATGTAGTAGCAACGGAGGCCAGAGGTTGGTTTCTGTTGTGAGACAGGGTCTCTTTGAACTTGGAGCTCACTGATTCAACAAGCCAGACGGACAAGCAAGTGTCTTCCTTGTTCTTGCCCAGCGTTCTGACTGTTTGGATACATAGTGCTGATTTTTTTTTTTTTTTTTTTTTTTGTATTTGCACCGGAGACATGAAAGATCTGCTTGATGCTCATCGCTATCCTATTGATTTTCCTCGTAAATTGTGATGTGTTTCCTTCCTGCAGGCTGTGGCTTTTGTTGATTTCACTTGGCTATCGCTGTGAATCTTACAGTCTCGGCCTTGATAACATGATAGTGACTACGGCTGTGACTGCTTGGCTCTGCTGTCCTGCAATTCTATTGCTCCCTGTCATTTATACCCAGTAGCAAGGGTCATTTTGCAGTCATTTTTTTCTTGCTCTTACGTAGGACTGCCTTTATCACAGTCACTTTCCCCTGCAAACGCCGGCTTCTCTTTAAAGGAAGGTTAGTGCTGCCTTGCACTAATCTGAGGTTCCTGATGCTCAGTGTTCAGGTGAAGGTATGTCTGTTATAATGTATAATTCAACAGCACTTCACTGTTCACTAACAAAATGCTTTGAGGTAATAGTTCCTTCCCTTATGTCAAACTGTTTTTCATAGGCCTAGAGACTTATTAGTATTTTAAATGTCTCCCTCATTTTTAAAGTTTTAAATGGATTCAGAGCTAGAATTTTCTAGCATGTGCCATGGGAGTTTGATAGTCTTTTTTTTTTTTAATGTAATGAAGAATTATAGAACCACGGTTATTTTCCTAATAGCTGCCTTTTACTATGAATCTTACTTTTGATGCGATTGCTTCATGCTTTTGGCATCATGCTCCTTGGTTGTGGCTTTTCTCAATACCCAGACCCACCTCATGGCTGTGCTTCGTTTGATTACTTAGCTGAACACCGCCAAGTCCCTTTCGCTAGCAAATGTCTTCTTTTTTGAGCTGTTTTACAGATGGGCAGCCCCAAAGGGCCGAGGCTACGAATTCAAAGCCACAACTGTCAGTGTAGAGGGGCAATCGAGGCAAGGTCAGTTAGGGTCAGTTAGATTCTGCCTTTAGTCTTTGCTCCCTGCGAGCCTGGCAGAAGCAGGATTTTTTTCATTCCTTCTTCTTCACAAAACCGTTTCCCATCAGTTAAGTTTTCCCTCTGGCCCTTAGGTTTCTCCTCATCCCTTGTCAAGGGCACTCAACGGAACTGATGGGGGTGATTTTGCAGATCTGCACTGAGGGGACCCAGGGATCCTAGGATAGAGGTGGGGTGACTGCACAGAATGGGGAGATGAAATATGTATTTCCTATTTGCTAGGATTTGCTTAATCTGTGGAGTGTCATTGATTCCGTTGAGTCCCTTAACATACACTGCTCTGCGGAGTTTTCCCAAAAATCAACCCAGACATGTCATAATGTCATATAACAGAAACTAGTGTTGGCTAGAGAGGTTTCATACCTTACACATAACAAATGAAATATGTCAGCCTTTAGCAACAAATGGCTCAGTGGTTAAGAGCACTAGCTGCTCTTCCAAAGGAGCTGGGTTCAATTCCCAGCACCCACACAACAAGCAACTTCTATCTATAACTCCAGTTCCAGGGGATCTGATGCCCTCTTCTGGCCTCTGTTGGTACTGCATACATATGGTACACATACAAACCTGCAGGCAAAAGACACAAATAAAAAATCTTTTTTTAAAAGCTTCTTTCCTTCTTGAAATATATAATAATTATTTCTATGTAGAATGATTATCTGTACCCCCATTATATTCAACATTTTCTAAGTTTCTATGGACATAGTAAACAGACTTCTATGGCCACTTTTCTGCCCACAGCTTGCCCATCAGGGACGTATAAACCTGAAGCTTCTCCAGGAGGAATCAGCACATGCATCCCGTGTCCTGATGAAAACCACACCTCTCGACCCGGAAGCACATCTCCTGAAGACTGTGTGTGCCGAGAGGGGTACCAGACATCCGGTCAGACCTGTCATGGTAAGACACCTACTGTGAGCAAACAGGAAATAGAAAGCTGACCTTGAGCTCCGTGATACAGAGTGGTGGCATCACTCAATACATTTAGGGTGGTCTTTAACATCCCCATCTTTGGTCACACTGCAGGGACAGGGGTGTCATTTGCTCCTATTACATAGCATTTATTAGCACTAAACACACAGGCTTCCTGCTCAGAGAAAAGATCTTAGCTCCTAGGAGCAGTGTGACTGCAAAAACCATGAATTAGTACCTAGAAGTAAGCAATGCTACAACATCAGCAATGAATTTGAATGGCAAATCAGCTTGTCTTGGCCCTGGTCGTGCTCAAATTCATTTTTAAAAAGTTTTTTTTCATAAATATTTTTCCATCGTGTCAAAAGTAGAAATATTTACATAGTATATAGTGCACGGCAGAAGCTGTGACGTTTTCCTGGGTGCTGGGATTAAAGGTGTGTGCCACCACACCTGGCTCTTTATCTCTTCAGTATTTTATTCTGCCTTTATTAATAGGGAAAATATCTAATGATCTATGAAAGTCAAGAACTAGGGACTGGGGAATATAGCTTGGTGGTAGAGCATGTGCCTAGCACACATGAAGTCCTGGGGTCCAGCACCAGAGCTGGAGAGAAAGTCTATGAAATCTTACATTCATCTGTACCAGTATAAAAATAAAACCCTTTGAAGCTTAAAGGGCAGTGTCCGGCCTATGTTACATTTTAACTGGTAGTAATACTTACTATGTAGGGGTTCTTGTTCCAAACATACTTAAAAATTGGATGGGCCAAACGGGAAGACTGTGGGAAATTAGTATCTAGAAATAAAGATGTATATATGGAGACAGACAGGCAGAACATTGGACAGATGGCATGCTTTGCTAAGTAAACTGAAGCAATTCAGTTACGTAGACAAAATCCGACTTTGCTTTTTGCTGTTTCTCTGTTAGTTGTCCACTGCCCTGCCCTGAAGCCTCCTGAAAATGGTTTTTTTATACAAAACACTTGCAAAAACCACTTCAATGCAGCCTGTGGGGTCCGATGTCGTCCTGGCTTTGACCTCGTGGGAAGCAGCATACATTTGTGTCAACCCAACGGTTTGTGGTCCGGGACAGAGAGCTTCTGTAGAGGTATGCAGTCTGGCCAGTCCATGTCGTTTCCTGGTTGTCCTGTCCAACTTTCGCAGTTTGGAGTCTAATGGGCCAGTTATTTGCTCCTGCTCCTGAGAAAGGGGAAACTGAGGAAGGCTGAGAACCGCTAAATTTGCCTGACCCCATCATTGCCAACTACACCATTCATGGTCTTTTAATGAACAGGCAAAGAAAATGTCTGTCTAGAGCAGTGGTTCCCAACCAGCCTAATGCCACAGTTCTTAATACAATTCCTCGTGTTGTGGTGACCCCTACCATAATATTATTTTCATAGCTACTTCATAAATGTAATTTCACAGCCATTATGAATTGTAATGTAAACATCTGATGTGCAGGATGTCTGATGGGTGCCTCCTGTGAAAGGATCATTCAACCCCCTAAGGGCCATGGACCACGGGTTGGAAACTGCAGGTCTAGCGGTAAATGGACAGGTTACTCAAACTTCCATAGTCAAGATGGGGTAAGAAGAACATTAGGAAAGATGCCAAGACTTGGGATAGTCAGAGTGAAGGCTGGATTCCCCCCACAAGACAGGGCTTGCGTCACACCAGAATTTTGCAGTGGGAGCATCTCAACACAAATGTCTCCAGCTCTAGGAAGTGGAGAACGGGTTATGGTGAGATTCCAAGGAGCCAAGTCAAGCCAGTAAGAAAGAGTGGGAACAGCAGTGGGGGTCATGGCTTCCACGGCAAAGAAAGAACAGTGTCTCAGATCCCCCCATTTGACCTTCTGTTACCTGAGTTCCTAGTTCTTACAACTGCATAGCCCCAGCCTCCAAAAGCTTCACAAGGCAGAAAGGTGGAGGCTTCCCAAGGAAAGGTAAAAGCAAGTCAAGGACTTGAGGACTCCCTCCAACTGCCCGGCCCCCAATGCTAGATTTGGGATATAAGTATATGTAAAATTTAATAATTGATTTTTCTGAAGTTCAGACTTATTTGGACATCTTGGTGGACTGATTTATTCATGTCCGAAACTGGAAGCCTTACTCTGTCTATCATCAATGTCCTTTGCTGAGGACTTGACTTCTCCAAGATGCCACAGTTTCACCCAGATCACTGGGTAAAGGGTGCTGTCTCCTGAGAACCTCTGTGCATCTATAACCATATGGGGCGCTCACTGACTTGCATTCCAAGAGCATTTGAAAGTTCTACAGACATCTGTTGTCTGTGTTTATTAGCTACTAAAACCGAACCCAGTAATAAATAGGAAATGGGAAATTATTCCAGTCAGATCTTTATCATCATGTAGCCTGCCAAAAGTCAAGGTATGGCCAGCAGGTTGAACAAAAATGGCTGACAGGGAAGCATGAAAAATTAAAGAGTTGAGCCTCAAAGGCAATTGCATCAAATAAAATAAGACTAGGATCCCAAAGAATTGAGGAGACATCAAAGAGTAACGAGAATCCTTAGAGTGAGGAGGGGGGATCAAAAATATCTGTACAATAAAGCATACTCAACAGCCAGATTAATAAACTGAAAAATATAACCTGAGAAAGTAGTAGAGGATAATTTCAGAGATAGCAGAATTCTGACAACGCGTAAATGGACAGAAGAGCAGACGCTACAAGGGTCCCTCTCATGTGAGGACGTCAGAGAGTGGATGGGGCCGAGGAGCGGTGGCAGCAGAAGATCAGAGACATCCCCCCAAGATGAGATCTCAAAAACAAATATGCATAACCAAAACCTTCGAATCTAGTTCAAAATCAGTTAGTGAATGCCAGAAAAGAGTATTAAAAACAGATAGATGTCTGGAAATAATCTTAGTGACATTTTTGAATGCCCCAGAAAAACACAAAACAGCATTGGCTTCCTAATTACAAATATCATTACCTCCAAGAGGCTCCAACCAGCCTGAGGCTCTTTAGTGGGCATTCAAAATGTCTGGAGATGTAGGACTCTGAGAGAAAGGACTCAGAATACTGATTTCCAGTCTCAAGCCACTGTTGATGTGTGAAGGCAAAGGAAGGCCATTTTCCGTCAAGCAGTAAAGCCCACGCATCCTCACTAAAATAATTGTTCTGACCACATCTGAAATATTTTCCTTGAGGCCACCAGTTACTGGCAGTTCCCAGGTCTCTGTGAAATGTCTATTTTTTTTTTCTCCAAATAGTGGACAGTGAAGAAAGCAGATATTTCAACTTTCTCCACACGACTTCTCAAAGGGGAAAAACAGAGTGGACAGCGCACCGTCCCTTCAGAGAAAGGTCCTAACCTTGCCTCCCTGCATTCCATAATCTAAACCCAAACCTTGTGCCCTACACTAACAGCTGTAGAAGTCCACGGTGCCTCTTGGAAAACTGTTCCTTTGTAAGCCTTGTATGATGCCTTTGATCTTCGTCTGCATAAGCGCTTGTGTCTCGTCAACCTCTTCAGTCTGATAGGTGTGGCCCTGGGGTGTTCACTGCAGTCTTCCCTCATTCTAGCCCGTATGTGGTGTCGGGTTCACTCAGGGACGCATGCGTGTTATCTGGTTAGAAACTCGTGTTGGAGATCCAACCCTACACAATTTTGGAAGGAAACTGAAAATAGGAAGCCCAGAAGATAAGTTAGAGTATCAGCGACTTTGTCACGACTCAATCTTTACATCTTTACACATCTTTACTTGATTAAATAAATGCAGCATCCACAAATGTAACACACCTTTATACGGTTAAAGTAAGATTCCGGTACATAAACAGACGTAACATGCCATTGCCTGGTAAAATAATATTCCACAACCATGGATTGTCCTAAAATTCCTGCAGCTTCACCACCAAAGTCACTACCTGCCTCACCTATAAGTAGAGTTTCCCTGAATGAAGATTGGGTTCTTTCTTTACCATATTATCAACGCCTTATGGATTTACTTGAGATCTAATACAACAAAACATATACTATATGTCATCAACTCTAAAATGTGTTTTTTTCTTATTTATTATCTGTAAAATTGGAGCACACCTTAGAACCAGCAGCAGTAACCAGCCTTATGGGCATGAGTGTGGCTTTAGTAGCAGCTCATTAACAATGTTATATCTGGGGCTCTGAGATGCTTCTCCTGGGCAAGGCTGGCTTCTGTTTCTGGGGGTGGTGTAGTATATAGAAGTAGCTTACAGATAGAGCTTAAAGAACAGAGGATAGTTTTTTAACTCTATCATTGTTTTTATAAAAATATAGATTGAGTCAGGAAAGAGCAATTAGCAGAAATTAGATCCTAGATTCCTTGTCTTTTACACATTTTATGCTACACTGTCAATATTATGTAATGTTGAATGATGATTGACAGACTTCATTCTTGCTTCTCTTAGTGGAACGCTTGTTCCCCTTCATAAAGCACTTAGAGTCGTTTCTAATTTTCATTGAATTATATGTGGTTCTAAACCACTAAGGGAATCTTAGGTGATGCCTCAGTAAAAACTAGCTAAAACAGTAAATGAACTCTGGGAATACTAGTCTTTCTCCTGAGGAACCATTTCAACAGCAAGATGCCTACATTTTACATCAGATTTTCTCTATTTCTGGTAAAGACAGAATCAAAATTTGGACATTGACAAGAAGCATATATCTGAAAAAAAAATCCAGTTCATGTTCAAGCTGAAACCCACAGCAAATTTGTAGGTCTGTCTTTGTGTCGTAGATTGTTCGCTGTTACCAGACTGGGTTCCTGTGTTTATTCTTCAACTTTAGTCATGTTTTCTAAATGATTAGTTGCTATATAATCTATCCATAGTGTTGTGTACATCATGGTGTAGATAATTCAATACATGTATACAGTGTGGCATGGTCAAATTAGAGTAAGTTGCTGTTTTCTTCATCAACTATATATGAGTTTCTTTAAAACAAATATAAATGGAGGAACAAAAAAAATTATAAGTTGAATCTAGTAATTAAATGTGTACCTATGAAAACTGGTGATAAATACTTATTCTTGAAAGAAGAATATAGAGTGCTTAAGAAATGAAAAGCAATTGCCTGATGTGATTTTCCATTTTATGTATCTCAGTCAGAGGAATTTATTGCCCTTAACTTCTAAGACAGTTGACATGACCCGGTACATGATGGACTCCTTCAATAACAGTCCCCCAGGGCAGGCAGACATATTGATAAATATTTAATTAATAGTTGACTTCAGGCCAACTTGTCCCAGGGATAGCAAAGGACACGGTTTCATATTTCTCCTCTCATTCAGTTCTCGAATTTTCCCTATGGAGTAATAAATCTGAAATTTATATTTAATTCACTTAATACTTATGCTCTGCCAACTGATGTAATTTGAATGTGTTCCCACAGAATAAAGCCAGCCAGTAACTCCAGTAGAACGCACACTTGAATATTTTGCATGAGCTTTCCTTCCTATTCTTTAAAAGTTTTCAAAATAAACAAGTACACATTAGTGTGATAAAAAACTTGCCCATACATGAAAGTACACTCGGGGTTCTCACAATATTCTTGCTTTCCAAACCTTGTGCTGAAGATTCTTTAGCGATCTCTATACAACCTTCTGGCCTTCAGTGTTGTGCACAGTACTGTCTCTAGACCCTGAACTTAGCTCTTTTGTAGGGTATTTTTGTTTGTTTCTTACTCAGTATCTTTCCCTGGAGAACTGATAAAGGGAAAGAACAAATTGGTACTGCATAGAAAGAATTTGACTTGTGTATAGCTCCCAGTATCAAAATTCTAATTACCAATACCTCATGGTTTCAGGCTTTCCTGTGGGCTAAAGGAAGATAGTATAGATAATCCAAAGCTGGTGAAAGAACCCCACCATCACCAGAGACTAGGATTCCTTCGTGTTTCTACACCATCCTCTTATGCATGGTACTTTTCCTGTAGTGCTGGTAAATACGAAACAGCTGGCTGGTGTAGTCTCTCTCATGCCTATATTTGGGAAGAAAAGAAGAGGACAAAGAGAAGACAAAAAAAAACACTCCGTTGGTTGCAAAGTCTCACCCAAATTCAGCTGTATCTCATTGGCTCTCATTAATGGCAGTGAAGTTGGGCAACTATGATGGGTACATTATGATGCTGTGTCATGCTGGGAAGAGTGGCTACTCAGTGGGTGTGGTTTTCAATGAAAATGGCCCTCATAGGCTCGGAGGGACTGGCACTATTAGGAGGTGTGCTCTTGTTGGAGAAGGTATGGCCTTGTTGGAGAAAGTATGTCACTGGAGGAGGGCCTTGAGGTTTCAAATGGTCAAGCCAGGCCCAGTGTCACTCTCTTCCTGCTGCCTGCCAATCCAGATGCAGAACGCTCAGCTACAACACCACGCCTGCCTGCATGCTACCGTGCTTCCTGCCATGATGATAATGTTCTAAACCTCTGAGCCTGTAAGCCAGCCCCAATGATTTTCTTTATAAGAATTGCCATGGTTGTGATGTCTCTTCACAGCCATAAAATCCAAATTGAGTCAGTGCATAATTCACAGGCTCTGGCACAGAAAAAATCTTTGTTGTTACATAGCTGTCTTCATCTAATCAGAGATAGACTCCTCACACAGTTAAATTCCCCACCCATGGGCTACAAACTACATTTGTAATGGTGCAAATAAAATGTAGGTTTGTAGGGACTTCATTTAAAAAAAAAGAGGTTATTTTATCTCCTCATCCTTGAGAACAGGTAATAGTCATGTTATTATACAAAGCCATTATTAAAGTAACAGTTTCTGCTTTTCTCTGTATTTAGTAAAATGTAATTGTTGACATTTTCTATAGTGAGGACATGCCCCCATCTCCGCCAGCCCAAACATGGCCACATCAGCTGCTCCACTGTGGAAATGTCCTACAACACCCTGTGTTTGGTCACCTGTAATGAAGGATACAGATTAGAAGGAAGTGCTAAGCTTACCTGTCAAGGAAACGCCCAGTGGGATGGTGCAGAACCGCGGTGTGTGGGTAAGTGGCCAGAAGGTGTGAGGTCTAAGCACTTCATTTGTTCATGATTTCACAAGGAACTGGAACAGACCACATTCTCCTGATACATATGAACATGTGCATATGCATATCTGTGGAGCTGTAGATGCATTGTCAAATACATTGTTAAATCACTCCAATCCTTCTAGCAGGAATCCTGAAGGACCATCCCATCTTTTAGAAAATTTAGCAGTCATTTTTCTGTGTGTCCTGCATGTCCAGTTCATACAGCATACCATCAAACAGTCCAGGCAACAGCAGTTTCTTGCCCAAATAACTAACTTTGTCACATTGAAGGCAAATTCCGTAACGAGTTTCTTCAATGCCCATCAACCTCTCTGAAGTAACTGGTGCTGCCAGAAGTAGACATGTCTCACTGTTGAGAAAAGTCTAAGTTCTGAAAATATTTTAAATGCCATATTCTGTAAGTCTTTGAAGTGTTGAAAATTATTTAACATTAAAATTGTTTAAATATATCTCTGCATATCTAGGAAACCTAACTAACACAATTACAAGTTTGACTATTATAAATTAATATCTATTAATCTGTAATTTTTAATTATAAATTACATTTTTAAATGACCTTCATAATACCTCAAACAGGAGTAGAAATATACATATTAGAAAATTGTTCTTAAATTTGTATCGATAAACCAAAGTCCATACCAATGTAAAATATTCATTTCTATATCATATCCCCCCTTTAAACAAAAACAAACATTTAAAAACAATCATTTTTGGAATTTGGACATGGTTTCCTCCAAACTGCTTCCTGATTTTTGTTGAGCAAAGTATTTTTAGGGTTCTTGGAGACCTTTCAGGGGGTCTTGTTCCATCAACCCACATTAGCCTGGAAGAAATTTACAGGTTCTCATCTTCTGTGGAAACAAAAGCGGAACCTCTTTTCCAAGTAACATATCCTTAGACTCAAATTTTGAAGACAAGATACCTTTATGTTGGTTTAACTTAGCAGCTCCCAGAATCAAATGTCTCTCTACAGTCAAAAAAACTTAAAGAAAACACAATAATATACATAATTAAGGCTCTCTTGTGTATATTCCATCTTTATGTGGCTTATTTTTTCCTTTAATCAATAACTATACTTTTTAATATTACTTTTACTGTCTCTTTAAAGACTTTGTTTTATTTTCTAAAACTATTTATTATTTTTTCTCTCTCTCCCAAGCCTATGTATATTTTTTAAATAAACTGTCTTGTTCGGAGGTCACTTATTGTCTATATCTGTCTTTATTGCATATCTGTAATCATTTTCTGACCAGGAGTGCCTTTTTTTTTAATGGTAAGCAGGCATGGCTAGGACCAAGTCCACGGTCCTGCCTGTCTGCCTGTTTGTTCCGCCCAGTCCAACATGGCGGAGATACATTCACCACCTCTGTGAGCCATGCTCACCGCCCTAGCTCCAGGGACACAGTGGTTTTATATCACCATTAAGCAACTAGTAGCACTTTGCTCACAAACCCCATTTAAATGCAGGACCTCCCAAAAAAGCCAGAGTTTGTTCTGCCAGCACAAACCAGGAAGCTGTTTTTAAGAAAGCCTCACAGTTTTTGCTGCTTATGCTGAGTCAGGAAGCCTTCTCTTAAAGAAGCAGCACCTCTGCTCACTGCCAGAAAACAGAGCCTATCTTTAAAAAAAAAAAAAAAAAAAGGTGACTACCAAGAAGCTGTGCTTCACTCTGTTCTTTTGTGCCTAGAATTCCTTCCCAAGCTCTCTCAGTTTTTATGTGGATGGATTTGCCCCACACTGGTGCCATTTTGTAAGCAGCAAGTCCTCATTTTTTTCCTGGCCACCCAGACCTGAATAATCACACAGAAACTATATTAATTACAAAACTCTCTGGTCTATTAGCTCAGGCTCCTTATTAACTAATTCTTCCATCTTAAATTAACCCATTTCTATTCATCTGTGTATCACCACAAGGCTGTGGCCTACTAGTAAGATTCTGGAGCATCTGTCTCCTTTAGCAGCTGCATAGTGTCTCTTTGACTCAGTCTACTCTATTTATCTCTGTTCAGATTTCCTGCCTGGCTTTACTCTGCTAAGCCATTGGCCGAAACAACTTTATTCATCAACTCATAAGAGCAATACATATACAGAGACTTTCAAAGTTTTGATATGATGGCGAAATAACAAAAGATGGTCTGGGGATGTAGCTCAGTTAGTAGAATGCTTGCCTACCCTGTAGGAAACCTGGGGTTTGATCCCACACAAAACCAGGAGCTGCAGTTCATGCCTTCAATCCCAATGCTAAGGAGATAGAAACAGGAAGGTGAGAAGTTCAAGGCCATTCTTAGCTGCCTGGCAAATTTGAGGCCAGCCCAGACTACGTGAGGCCCTGTCTCATAAAGACAACAAAACACAAACAAATTAAAGAAGAAATAACAAAAGAGATAGTTCCACACTTTTTTTAATACATTGTACACACAGTGTCACACGCGATTATTTAGGGGTGGGGCGTGTCAATCTAAGGTGGCACAGTTACGACTCCATTGTTTCTATTTTGTGGGCATGCCAATGATGTGCCGTCGTTTCTCTGCAACAGAACGCCACTGCGCTACCTTCCAGAAGCCCAAGGGCGTCCTCATATCTCCACCTAGCTGCGGCAAGCAGCCAGCCAAGCCTGGGTTGATCTGCCAGCTGAGCTGCCGCCCGGGATACGTTTTGTCTGGGGCCAGAGAAGTGAGCTGTGCCACATCTGGGAAGTGGAGTGCCAAGGTTCAGACCGCTGTGTGCAAAGGTAGGTGCCTGCATGGGGCAGGAGAAAAACCAGATTCCTACATAATGGCATATGAGTGTCCAATAGGGCTGCCCCTCTGTGAATTTCACCGCAAGTCCATGGTAAAATGGCAGGTAAAAAAAAAAAAATGTAAGAACTAGCAAGGCTTCTGGTTCCAAAGAGTGAATTTATGAAAATCCAGCTGGGAGAGAATGACGGAAGAAACAGGAAAATGAAGATGATGCTAGGGCCAGAATCAGCCGAGAGTTCCCTTTGGGAGATGGCGATCTATGAAGAACCTCTGATGCCTGCTGGACAGTGCTGGCTCAAAAGAATGGGCCACAAGCACTTTGAAGCCTGCATCTTGCTACATTATTGTTTACCCCACAGCAAGAGCAACCCAGGGTGAAAAAAAAAGTGTTAAAATCAAGAAAGAGTCCTGAGAAGTAAAAAATAGTGTAGATATTGAGTCCTCCAAAATAAAAATGTGTGTGTGTATGTGTGTGTGTGTGTGTCCTGCTCCAGAAGATGAGGGGAAAGTATAAAAATAACTACTAGAGTGGATATTATTGAAATATCACTAATTTGAAGTGTCAAACTGAAAATCCCTTGGGAATAAACAAGTACTAAATAAGAAACTTGAATACCTCAACTGATCAACCCAAAGAGATTGAAGTTTAGAGTTGTGAATGAGATCAAGGAGCGCAATGCTTACATCATGAAGAGAACCAGAAACTGGACGGGAAAGGGATGAGTTTCCTTTCTGTCCTTCCTACTATAGAAAAGCCTCCCTGAAAGATCTGGGTCTTTAGCCCGCAAAGCCCCCGAGCACTGGGGCTGACAAACTTCCTCTGAGGATAAAGCCTAAGTTGCAGAGTCTGTGAGGCAGAAAGAGAAACTGTACCAGAGAGCTGAGTCTGATTCGCATTACAGAGAGAAAAGCAACCGTGCCTCAGGAGATGAGGGAAAAGTAAATAAAAAACAAATTTCAAATCCAATCAAACTATTACTTAACTAGAAATGAAAACTGCAATGTCATTCTTTTTTCAGATTATCGGTATGCAGCTGTGCATCTTCATAGGGGAAACAGAAATTGAATAAAATTCCAGAGAGACAGTGAAATGAGACACGGTATAGGCAATTCAGATCTACCCGTCTGGGAAATTGAGCAGACCTCATTCAACATCGTGTAGAAATAAAAGATGTATTCTAACCCATAACAAGAAGTTGACTTCAAGTCAATGCTAGCAGGCTTAATTCAGCTCTTGCAGTGTGTAAGCTTTTCCATTGTCAAAAGTATCATTAGCTTGAATTTGCTTGTTTGTTTGATAGTACCTTCTGGGGCTGCTAATTAATTCTGATCGATGGCCCCATTTTCAAGTGTACTTTCTGCCCCTGTCAGCTTTCTTTTTCTTCCATTTTTTTTTCCTCTGTTTCATTCAAAAGACAAAACATTGACCAAGTTCCTACTGTATGCCAGGCACTGAATAAAACAGCGTGGAGAGAAATACTCTTTTCCTTCAAGTAAACAGGCGAGGAACTTCTGTTTCGCCGTGGCTTGCTGAGTTTTCTGGTTGGGAAGAACAGAGGCTATGAGGGCTCAGGGAGTGAGCATGCCAGGTGGTTGGGAAGAGCCAGGGGCAGCTTTTGTACTTAGGATGAAAGGACCTGCAGCTGCTCTTGGCCAGGGTGCAGGGGAGGATATGGTTGGGCATTAAAGCAGGCAAAGACAAAGAGAAGAACCAAGGCAAAAGACCAAGTACAGGGCTGACTACAGAGTTCCACGGGCTCACAGCAATCCCATGTGAAGCATAAGTTCCCAACAGTGGACTGCGAATGTAGGCGGGGCCAGTTCAGGGGGCTCCTAAGCCACATAAGATAAACTATGCAAAGTAGTTGTGTAGTACTAATCAACTGGTAATCAGCATATTAAAAATTATAAAGTATTAATATAACCTGTCTGGCCACCTTTTAAAAATAATTTAGAAGTACATGTCAGGGTGTGGTGTTTAATTGATTTGTGTTTTTTGGGGGCGGGGAATCAGATGTGGAGGCTCCACAGATCAGCTGTCCAAAAGACATCGAGACTAAGACTGGGGAACAGCAAGACTCTGCCAACATCACCTGGCAAATCCCAACAGCTAAAGACAACTCTGGTGAAAAGGTAAGGTTGGCTTAAACATCGCATCCCTTCTGAATGGACTCTAAGTAAACCACACATACATGCAGCGCAGAAAATTAGTGTACCCTAATGACGCACAGTCCTGTCTCTCGAGTTCACGCTAAATTCTAGTGCTTCATCTGAGAGAACCGCCAGCGTTTTTTTTTTAAATAAAAATATCAGATAAAAATCGAACAAAAATTTTTCATTCCCTGAGTTTGACATATTGTTCTTTCCATTAAGACCCATCATTGATGATTCTTTGCTCCATGGGTAGTTCTAAAAAATCTGAGAAAAGAAAGCTATCGAATCCACCTGGATTTCTAGTCATGGACATATATTTTCAAGAATGGATGGCATATTGACCAAGCTGAAGGGTGGGCTGCCAGCGTTTCTTACTGAGTGCTCCTAAATCCAACCTTCCTTGGTATTTTAACCTTATATGTACTCTCACTGGCTACCAGTGACCAACCATCAGCTGCTAGGGAAGAGCTTCATTTAGGAATCAGGAATGCCGTCTCCTGTTACAGCTGGGCTATGTCCAGAAGTAGGCAGATAATGTTAAACAGTATTTTGCTTTCACAGCTGCGTGTAAATATATGTAAACCTTCCAGGCAGGATATATTGGGGGCAGGAAGCAAGACAATAATAATTGTCCTGGTAATATAATTGAATATATTTACATTCAAAGCAGCTTTTAAAATTCCGACCTCTGGGACTAAACGTAAGGAGGTTTCCTTGGGTACTATGTGACTACTTTCTAATAAACATACAGTTATGCGCCATCCTCACCAATACCAAGCAGAAAGGGGTGCATTTTAGGATCTGATGAGACACTGCCGGTAAATGTAGCACCTGTGTGTCTACAGATGGAGAAACTATGCATCGGTTAGTCCCTGAGAAAAGTCAGCCCAGCCAGGATCAACAGGAAGCATCTCTTCATTTCCCCTGTTTGCTTTTCAGCAGGGTCTCAAAGGCTGTACCAATACATCATGGTCTTTCATTCCCTGCTGCCAAGAGAGCCAGGATGGCTTCAGTGTTACCTCGGTATTTTTCTCAATAACGTCTCGTGTTCTTTATAATCAATGCATGCAGTTGAGTGCAAATCACTTCCAGTGCCTGACTCTTGACTCCCAACCCAGTCATTGTCACCTTGTCAGATAGTTCATCTCCTACAACAAAAGCTAGCTGGAAGAACATGCAGAATTTCCTGGGATAGCCACATACAGGGATGTGTGGTCCTTTTAGGAAAGCTCTGTATGTCGGGGAGAGCGGATCCAGGGAAGCAGGAGATTGCACAAAAGCAGTGCCTGGCCTGGTTCATAGGATCCTGTGCTGCCCAGAGGCACGGAGGACCAGAAATCCTGCCAAGGAATCTGTGGCTTGTTAGCTCAATGCCCCCTGTTCAGAAATTCAGACAATGCGTCAAAGAAGAGCCTCCTGCCACTAAAGGAGGCTCTCAGTAGTAAGATGGCCCTGTGGACATTCGGTCTCAACATCACCGTCATTCTGTCAGGTGACACCGAAGTAAGGTGACTACATTTAGCCCGTCTGGTGAGTCAGGATAATCTTCTCATTGTATGATTCTTAATTCAGTCGTATCTTCTAAATGCCTTTTGCCATGTAAAGTAACATTCGCAAGTTCTGGAGGGGACATGGATATCTTCCAGGGACTGTTATTGGAGAATAGCTCAAATGTGCTTAAGAGACAGGAAACAGAAATAGAAGGACCCATTTTTGGAAGGAGAAGTTGGGTATACAAGGAAAAGCTATCGTGTGTGGCTCGTGGTCAGAAAATGGCCAGACTCAAAGCACAGTTGGCGAGGTCTGCCAGGGAGGAAGAGATTCTGCAAGTTTGAGGAGAGAGAGGAAGAGAGCGCCCCTCAGAGAAATACAACAGGATTATTGGACAGTGTACAGTTCGATCTGAGGTCAGTGATCATTCACTCTAGCAAGATTAATCTACACGGTCATGTTAATATCTTCAGAACCAGTAGAATATTTTAGAACAGACGTAAGGGAGCAGGTCAGGTGGCTTGTTTGCAGCAATATAGAATAGCAAAGAGAGAAAGAGGCAAGGCAATTCCAGAACTTACAGTAACAGTGCACAACAAGACACAAACTCAAAGCGGGTAAAAGAAGGAAGGAATAAGCGAGGCTTCTGTGAGGACCCTTTCCTAGACTGCTGCCTTGATCATTCCTCGGGACAGTCTTAAAAGGGGGTTGTTGATAGGAAAATAGGGTGCTAAATTACAGATACACTGCAGTCAAAACTATAACTGTATGACTCAACTGGGACAGAAACCAATAGGAAATAACTATCTTTCCCTGTCACACACAGGCTTGGTGGCTTGATTACTTTGGGATAGAAAAATAACTTCTTTCTGTAGTTAAAAAATCCACTCTCAAGGATTAAAAAGAAGAATCTCGCTGTCTAAATAAAAATTTGAATCTCATATGCACTTCAAAGCTTTATCCTGCTGTTGCCCAGAGCTCACCAAGGGGATTGGAAAGTTGGCTCTGTGGTTGCTCTTTTATTTATTCTATGTCACCACCCCTGCTTGGGCTTCCCTAGAGCCAGAGTTGGTATAATTGACAGAATCATGGTCATGCAAAAAATGTCATTGTCCTCCAGACCCGGTGAATGCTCCATTATATGGCAAAGGGATTCTACAGGCATTAGTAGACAATAGATTTCAAGGTAGGAAGACTACCTCTTATTGTCTAAATGAGCCCTGCTTGATTGCCACATCCCTTAAGAAAGGAGCACCAGTCCCAGCTCTAGCTAGAAAGAGATATTCTGGGGGAGGAGGAGCTAGAAGATGCGGAGTGAGAAGGGCTGTGTCAGCATCCTTGGCTTTAGAAGCTGGAGGGAGGGTCCGTTCTGGAAGTCCATTCTGGAAGCCTCTGTGCTAGAAAAGCAGAGAACCAGATTCAGCTCTACTGATAACCTTGATTTCAACCTTTTATGAGCTATGAGCATCTTGATTCTTAAGACAGTGGCGATGATAAGTGTGTGCTGTTTGAAGCCGCTGAGTTTGAAGGACTGTGTCATGACAATAGGCAACAGCTGAGCGAGGAGCGATTTTGAGACGGGTTCACTTTCCCCTTTAATTGATGCTGTTATCATCTCGGTATCACTGAGATACTCAGAGAAGTGAGCATGCAGCTACTGCCTTTCATCCCTCCAGTACACGGAATCTGCCGGAGACCTTGCAGGGTGCCCTCCCTCTGCCTCATACAGTTCCTGGACATACACTGTGCTCTAGCAGAATGTTGTCTGCCCGCCCCCTCAATTCCTGTGTTATGGTTCGCAAGTTCTTAATGCAGGAAGGATCTAAGGTGGAGGAAAGGCAGAATGGCTCAATGAGTTGTTCTCCTCCCCTTAGCCTTCCTGACTTCACCTAGCCAAGGCTAACTCGTGATTAGCATCTGTATCTGTTGCTGATAAAACACCAGGAGGACCAAAAGCAACTTAGCGGGGAGGGGGAAAGCTTATGTGGGGCTTATGATTCCAGAGGGATAAGAATCCATTATGGTTAGGAGGCATGGCAGCACGCTACAGGCATTGTCGAAGCTGATTGGTCACATCCTCAAACACATCCACAAAGCAGAGCGTGACTCGGAAGTAGGGTAAGGCTATGAACTCTCAGAGTCCACCCCCAGTGATGTACTTCCTCCAGAAAGTCTACACTGCCTTCCCAAACTTGGGATCAAGTGTTTAAATACCTGAGCTTCTGGAAACATTTCTCCTTATAACCACCGCAGTTTCCTTTCTCCCTCGCCACCCACGTTGCTCGGCCAAACCTCCTGCCTGCATCATTCACCCGAGGAAGAGCACGCACCTGTCTACATTCACATCTGTCCCTAAACTCCAAGAGATGGAGGCTAATATCACTGCAGTAGAGAGACTATGTGGGTTTCCACGGCCCAGCAAGCTTCCATCTATCGGTGGAGGGCAGAAGCCCACACAGCTCAGTCTGCACTATGGGTGTTCTGCAGGATTGTCTGAAGCAGCCACTCCATTTGAGGCAGACACTCTCCCTGTGGATAAAACAGAAGTTTCCAGAACTCTACCACAGCGAACCCCTGTTTCCACAGAACCTCTCAGCTCCAGTGTGTTGATGGGAGTGCGGGCCACGGACAGCTTGAGTCCTGCCAGCTTGTCTGTCCAAAGGGGCTCTTGTAGAACATGGCACTATTTGGTCTCTATAATCCTTTGTTCTGGGACTTTAGTTACAATCACGTACAGAAAAAAATATACAGTCTTTTAAATAACCGTCTCAAAATATGTAGAAACCCATAATTATTAAGTTCTCAATAGGGAAGAAGTGTAAAATTACTGGTTGAATCTCTCCCAAGCAAAATAATCAAATTTATTAGTTGATATTCTTAGCCATTTTAGGGTTTTGTTAGTTATAATGTGCAATTCTTATTCCAATTCATTATTGGTTAATTATTAGTTATTCACATTATGTATAATCCCTTCCCAAAATTATAACTTTCCATGTTTGTTTCATAGCCACAGTTATGAGCCCTTTTAAGAGAAAGTCCACAGTGGTGAGGTTGTGGGGTTTGCAGCCAGTCCTTTAATAGTAGGGGACCAGGACTTTCCTTATTTGTGATGGCTTAAGATTCATCTTTTGTTTGGTGTGTTCAAAATTCTTTCCTTCAGAAAAAGGAGAGAAAGAGGGAGAGAGAGAAAAAGAGAGAGAGAGAGAGAGAGAGAGAGAGAGAGAGAGAGAGAGAGAGAGAGAGAGAGAAAGAGGGAGAGAGAGCAGTAGTAAGTTTATAGAACTTCCACATGTCCAAGAGCTCTCTTATTCCAGGCTAACAATTAATGATAAAGAGAATTCGGTAGGAGGTGATATGCCCCTACTGGGTCTTGTGGAAGTTTTTCACTGTGCACAGAATTGCCTAAGAGTTTCTTAGGTACTGGTCACCCTTTACTGACTTTTCCTCACACATCAAGAGTCCTTTCTGTACTCTCTGCAGCCATACCTTTGGTTTCTTCAGCTCAGTTTTCTTCTGTATTTTTAGAGTATTTCCCTCCTCTTCTTGTTCTACTTGCATTTCCAAGGATGTCCTGATGTTTCCTGGGAAGATGTGAATATTAACATTTATTCACCCCCAAATAGGGCACCGAGGAGAGACCAAAGGAGCAATGCTACCTGTCTAGCTTGGTAAATGAGTTTACTGTTTTAGTGGCCCACAGACAGCTGTGTAACCAGAAAGCCTGCCCCAGCCTGACTGACCACTCGCAAAATCTGCCTTCCTAGAGGTCACTGCCCAGTCTGCACTTGTCACCACTGGAGTATTTTCTCCCCAGCAATTGTTGTTTTGCTTTGTGACCTACTGGGTTTCATCAGCTCCCCTGACCCACCTGTGGGTCTGGGTGTTGGGTGGTCCTCTGGAGCATGGCCAACTTGCCAGTGACCACAGTAATGAAGACAATGATTTCGTGACCACTGGCAGTCCTCAGCTGACATTCACTCCCATGGGAGGGGCCATTGTGATAAGACCCTCCCATACCTATGACTGTATGCTGAATATCTGAGTCTGTGGTGCCCGCCTTTAATCCCAGCACTCTGGAGGCAGAGGCAGGCGGATCTCTGTGAGTTCGAGGCCAGCCTGGTCTACAAGAGCTAGTTCCAGGACAGGCACCAAAAACTACAGAGAAACCCTGTCTCAGAAAAATCAAAATAAATATATATATAAAATAAAAAGGTACCATCAAATTCATACAAATGCTTACCAAATCACATCATAAAGGGCTCTCTGAGCTTACTTGAAATAGATTTTACAAAATCTAATGGAAAACAAGTATATTAAATACCCTAAAATAAAAACATGACTAAAGTAAGGGCCACATCCTTCTCACTTAGCACAGCTGAAGTTTACTTAACATAGACCTGAGAACCCTGACACCAACACCACATCCCAGACAATGGGAATGCAAGCTGTTACCGCACTTTAGGAAAGAAACTTTAACACAATGTTGATCGTCTGAGGTCAGGTCTATGCCTGAAGAGATATTATAAGGAAATAGCAAAAAAAAAATATGTTTAAGTGGGTGTATAAAACTGTTTCCAAGAGTAAAATATGGAACCCAAATTAGAAGTTTTTCATCATATCTTTCTGGAAGGAATTATATTTCGTACAGAGGGGGTATTTAAAGGCCATCTTAAATCCGGAGATCACTCAAGAGTATAGAAATGGTCTACTGTATTATGCTTGAAACATATGGAGCGGTATGTATGCCACCTGTATGAACTGTGGAAAGAGTAGTTAGAAATTACACCCCAAGGAAGTGCCTCCTCCCCCCTTTCCTCTTTATGAAATACTGTATCATCCCATTCCTTTGCTGATAGCATATAAATCAAAAGAGGATAATTGCACTGCTGACCTTGTCAAATATTTATGTCTCCGTCAGGTGCCAGTCCATGTCCACCCAGCCTTTACCCCGCCCTACCTCTTCCCAATTGGAGAAGTGGCCATCACCTATACCGCAACCGACTCATCTGGAAACCAAGCCAGCTGCACGTTCCACGTCAGGGTTATTGGTAAGTCTTCTCCAGATCATGCGGGTGGTTTACAAAAACAATCCGCTTGTAGTCACCCGTGTCCTCTGCCCAGTCTTTCCTCCTGGAATTAAAACCATCAGGTCCCTTTCTCACTGAAGCCCTACGTCTGCTGTAACTGTCACCGTGTCTATTTCTTGCCAGGTGAGCACTTTGGAAAGTTCTGGATGGCTGCTACCTCTCTCTTCTTTCTTACCATTTATCCCCAGTCATTCAAGCCTAGACTCTGTTCCCTTTATGCCTTAGGATTGTGTTATTGCCAAAGTCGCCAGCAATCTCTCCTGCCGTTCCTGTGATCCCCTCCTGGGCCTATGTTTGAATGTTGAACATCTGAGATTCTTAATCATTTTTTAAAATACAAACAAATGTTTATGAAATCACTTCATAAAGGGTTCTCTAAGCTTATTTGAATTTTTAAAAAAAAATCTAATGGGAAACAAACATATTTCACTATAGAAGTACTTTTACTCAGGTGTCATTTAACTTTTCAACCTAACAACAAATATCAAACTTGAAAAATACTTTAAACTTTTCAAAGGTTATGATGTTTATTATATAACATGCTGTCATATTTTTCTGAAAGAAATTATACTTTGTACAGAACACAGTGGCGGCATTTAAAAGTCATCCTGAGATCCAAAGATCAAGTGTGCTCAGACCGTGTGATTTTCAGTTCTTATTTTACAAGATCTTTCCTCAGAGCTTATTCCATTAGCCACAACTTTCTTGCCAACATTTTCTTCTCCCCTGGCTTCTCTGCCATCAGTCTTTGCTGGGTACTCTCCCCTCTCCCCTCAACACACACACTTGTCTTAACTATTCTTCTTTTTCTCATCTCTAACCCTTTGGCCCTTCTACACCTACGATTCCCTTTTTAAATGTTCATCTAAAAGCAGATAAGCTTAGATGATCTTGGAATGTTGATATGTAATTTTTGTGGGTAAATGATGACTGCTTTCCAGACTCCATGGTTAACCAGGAGTTGACTTGACCCAGTGTTCTCAAAGAGCTCTGAGCTGCCAGGAGCATCTCTCCCTTCTTTGCTTTGAGTACCTGCTAGGGGCCAGGTGCTGTGCTATCCAGAGACTTGAGTGTGAGCAAAAGGGACTCCATTGCTGGTTTATGATTAGCAATCTAAAACCCCTAAGCCAACATTACTATACTCATGAAATGGCAAGTGAGCAAAAAAGACAGAAATTGAGCATCTACTTGTAAAATATAGGTTAAAACAGAATTACATGTATTCCGGGGGTACAACTCAATTGATTTCAGAATGTGCTTTTATGCACAGACCCAAATGCCTTGGCCTTAGTGCTATAACTACAAGTTATTAACTTAATAACCTCAGGTGAATTCCTTAAGTTTGTCTGGCCTATGTCTCACATAAAAAAAAATAGTAATTTGTACTCTCTCCTTCAGACTTCAAAGGTGTATAATTAAGAACACTTTGAACATGTAAAATCTATAACCAGATTGTAATTCCTTCCTGTGCAATTTTTTACTGTCATATATATTTTATATGTGTGTATATATATATATGTGTGTGTGTGTGTGTGTGTGTGTGTGTGTGTGTATAATAACTTCACCCCATTCAATCAGTACTTTAAAACATGGCTTCCCATCCTACCTCAACGTCATCTATTCCAGGCATACTTCTGTGGTTGTGATAAAACACCCTGATCAAAAGCCATTTAAAGAAGGATAGGACTTGTTTGGAATATAATTCCAGGTTACGAGTTAATCACTGGGAGGGAAGTTGAGGCAAGAACCAAAGCAGCTGGTCACATCACATCAATACCAGAAAGGAAAAAAATGAATTCACTGTGGCCATATTGGAAAGAGGGATAAAGAGATCCAGCAAATCCCCCAAGTCTGTCTCTAGGGCCCTGAAGTGAGGTTAGAGTTTAAGTGATTGACCAAGCATCTGAACATCTAAGCAGTTCACGTCAAAGAGTGGCCCCACCCACCACTGACCCATCATTGACTGGGCATCCTGGAAGATGTCTAACAGACTGTTAGCGCTGTGTGAAATCTCTTTCTGGGAGACAAGCTCCCCCTCTGGTTGGTGCCTTTCCCTTCTCCGAGCACAAGATTACCTGGGAACATTTGGGGTCCACTGCTTCAGTAGTCTGATAAACTGGGAGGTATAGGGGTTTCCTTGGAAGACCTTTGTTTCTCCCAGGCTGGTTACAGATGTTCTAAAGAGCACCCATGACTTCTCTGTCTGATTCTTTGTTCTGCAGACGTGGAACCACCTGTCATAGATTGGTGCCGATCTCCACCTCCCATCCAGGTCTTAGAGAAGGAGCACTCTGCCAGCTGGGATGAGCCTCAGTTCTCAGACAACTCTGGTGAGGACACACAGACCTTGTCAGCTGGGTAGCGCTGGCCAGACATTCCTCTTAAAAATGTCTTCAGATGGCAAAATACATAACAGCTAAGAAGAATGAGAAACGGCACCGATTGGTGTATTTTGAAACACATACAATTGAACATTAGCATCTTGCTTGGCTGTTGGTCTCTTTATGCAATACTCACTGGGCCTTATAAAACCTTTGTTAGGTTTTGAACATACAGGTTTTAATGGGTTTACTAAATTGAGTCTATGGTGTCCTGGAAATAGAAAAGATGAGTTCCTGATGGCATCCCCAGTCGAATTCTGTGTATTCACATTCATTCCCGAGCATTAGATGGATAAATTACAACAGGTCATAGGAAGGTCGGAGAAACCCAAGTGAATATCATTGAAATTCATTTTTAAAAGTTTCCCTCAAACAACAAGAAAAGTTGGATCAGTTTCTTAAACTGTCAATATTCTAACAGAGCAAGTCAAAGATACTTCTGTTCATCAAAAGTCCTTAATTTTGTAGGACTTTTGAGTCTATTGTTTCTCTGCTACAGCCTAAGTATCAAATCTTTTATTCTCTAGTAGCAAACAAGTCACGCTAAGTGGCTTGCTCAGCCAGTTTGCACGAACTGAAAATGAAAGCGCCTCAGATGAAAGGGCAATGTCAGAACTGTGGAGGGATGAGACTCGGGAATCACACACTTTTCTTCCCTCCCTAGGGGCTGAACTGGTCATCACCAGAAGTCACACCCAAGGAGACCTCTTTCCTCACGGGGAAACTATCGTGTGGTATACGGCCACTGACCCCTCGGGCAATAATAGAACCTGTGACATCCACATTGTCATAAAAGGTACTCTCTCCACTCTCCGCCAGACCCTCCCCCAGCCTAGCTAACCTTTGGTCTGTGTGATCACTGCCGTCCTCTATTTGGGGGTGGGGGAGATAGGCTGTGAGTGCTGAGTCTTCAAGTGACCCATTGTAAGTGTCCAGTTAGCATCCTTGAGCTTGTGAAAGGTCTTCTTTGAGGGTGGCCCTTAATTCCTGTATTAACTAAAGAACCAGTTAGAAAGGGATTTCCTGGGTTGCCTTAGACGATATGGACTGCAGTGCCCAACAGTGGTTCCAGCACACTTGTGTGATGAGGAGAACCCAGTCATTGCTCATTCCAAGAAACTGGAAGCCTGAGGGTGTATCCTGCATCCTTAGGATGCAATCCCAGTCCAATGATGAAGGCCTGGAAGCTCCTTGGAGAGTCACTGGGAAACTAAAGGGCTGCAAGAACCTGGGTGCGTCCAGGAGTGACAGCAGCAATGGCAGACGCACTAGTTCCGGAAGAATGGACCTACCTGCTAGCTTTCTCTTCCTCCCTTTATCCCGCCCAGCCTCCCAGCTTATCGGATGGGACTGGTGCGTTCAGGGCAGGCCCTTCCCCGATGATGACTCTCCCACTAGCCAGTCACCTTCTCTGACATTACTAACCGTGTAGGCGTCACTCCACCCAGTCAAGTCCACAGTCAAGGTTCACCATCACATCTGCAGCTTTCTGAACCTTTCCCCCTGACAATGCAAAGCATTGCTTAAAAGACCCCAAAGATGTCTTTGCCACATAATGTTACCCAGGGTTTTTTATTCAAGCACTTATGCCAGAAACAACAGTGTAAGGTCAGATCTATGTTTACCTTCTCATAAAATGTGCAGGACTCCTCACTGCACATCGGTACAACCTTCCAATGTCTGCCTACAATACAAGGAACCAAAAGTAGTCAGGGCCGCTCTCCCAGCTGAGGACCCTTGAGAAAATGTTCCTAGGGCTAGCGGGAGGCAGGAGGAGTCCTCTTCTTAGCTCGGCTTTAATTCCTGGACTATGCTGCCCCAGAACTATAACTGAATAATACAGTGTTATTTTGACACAGGTTCTCCCTGTGAGGTTCCCTTCACCCCTATAAACGGGGACTTTGTCTGTGCCCAGGACAGTGCTGGAGTCAACTGTACCCTGAGCTGCCGGGAGGGCTATGATTTCACAGAAGGGTCTATGGAGAAGTATTACTGCGCCTTTGAAGACGGTGTCTGGAGACCGCCGTATTCTACTGAGTGGCCGGACTGTGCTAGTAAGTTCCAGTTCTGCACCTTTCCAAGGGCACCATCGTGTGCTTTTCTGTGCATTACACAGAAAAAAAAAAGTGCTTTATAATGAGAATTGGCAGGGAGGGTGTCATGAATCAGCAAGGTGTATGGTTTAAAATATTAGTCACCAGAGTCTTTTGGAGAGTGGGTAACTATCTTACCCAGGCAGAACTATTTTGAGTTACTTAAAAAATGCTTGAAGAAGTTTATGAACATGAAATTCTTCGTGTGAAAGCATGAATATGAAGTTTCTTAGTGAAAGAGCTTATGTAACTTAATACCCAATGGGAGGTGATATAATACAGTAGATTGTGTGGTGTTTTTAGATTTAACTTTGATTCAGAGCTACTAATTCTAAGAGTGGTGGTGAGTGGAGAGTGGGGGGGTGCTAGGGCTCGAACCCCTGGGTTACCACATCCTAGACTTTAGAGTCTACAGTGCACAATGCCCACAATGCATACGTGCTACAAGAGCCAAGTTGCCTCTGTAGAAATTATGCTTTCAAAGATTATGACTACACATAACAGTTAAAGCTTTTAAATGTCTGTTAGTTGGAAATACAAACACATGATAAAAATTTATATCGATGCAAACAACTTTGATGTAGTCAAGATCAAAGGGTCTCTTGGTCTCCTCGGTGCTCCTTTTCTCACAGAACTGGAGGGTGCAGAACACTCGGTCAAAGCAAACTCATTTGGGCAGAGGAGCCCAGCGCCACCGGGCTGTGGTTTACTGTGGCCAGCGGATGCCTGGAACCCTTCACTGCCACCTCTCCACAGTCTTATAAATCTTGTCAGAAACAAAAGAAGATCAGCTTTAAAATCCTTCTGAAGTTGGCATACAAAACATGAGCGGTCACTGTGCAATTGCCACGCATATGTCGTGACCCTTTGTAGAACTGGTCCTCCTCTGGGATCCCGGCTTAGATTCCGTTTCCTCATAGCTAAACCTCTGGGCTGGAGATATAGGTCAGTGATAGAGCATTTATCTAGCACAAGAACAAGAAAGGGGAGGAGAGAGGAAAAGAGGAAAGGGAAGGGAAGGGGAGGGAAAGTAATTGCATGTGTCTTGGAAACTCTACCCAACTGAAGCTGCGTCCCCTAAACTTTTCTAGTAAAACGTTTTGCAAACCACGGGTTCAAGTCCTTTGAGATGCTCTACAAAACAACTCGCTGTGACGACATGGATCTGCTTAAGAAGTTTTCGGCAGCGTTTGAAACCACCTTGGGGAAAATGGTATGTCACCAGGGGGCCTTGGCTCTATGAGGGACACTTAGGACACCACTAGGCTGTCTTAACTTCTCTGGATTGTTTGCAACTGTCGTTCCTAGTCCTGAATGTGCCTCTCTTTGGGATCCAAATTCGTTTGTAGAATTACCCATTGAGTTTAGACTTCTGAATTCAGTCTGCATTAAAATGTTAAGTTTTTGAAATACCATGAACCAAAAAGTTTAAAAAGAGTTTAGGATCTTAGTAATTTAAAAATACTTGTCTTATTATTTAAAGTCTGATAGAAAATGTCCAAAATTATGTTATTTTATGATAAGAATAATCGAACATTTAAAGATTTTCATTTTTGTTGTTGCATTTTGGTTTGATTTTGGGGGTTGAGAGAAGGTCTCGGGTAGCCCACCCTGGCCTCTAACTCACTATGTAGCCAAGGATGGCCTTGAACTGCTGGTCTTCCTGCCTCCACCTCCCTAGGAATGGGATTACACCACAGCATTTCTCAAGCTGTGGGCCACAACCTCAATGGGGTTGAACCTAAGACCGTCTTCATATCAGATCTTTATGTTATGATTCATTGCAGTAGAAAAATGAGTTAGGAAGTAGCAATGAAAATAATTTTGTGATTGGGGGTCAACACAACATGAGGGCCTATAGGAAGGTTACAGACATGTACCGCCATACCCAGTATGTGTTATGGACGTTGTATCCAGGGCTTCAAGCATGTGAAGCAAGCACTCTAGCACGTGAGCTACATCCCCATCCAAAAGGATTTTCTATTTTATGCGTTTTTTGTTTCGATCTCGAGACAGCAGCGCAGTGCACGTAACTGAATCGAATGTCTAAAAGGCAGGAAACATGCTTTCGTCTGCCAGGATGGATGAAGATTTGTGGATTTGCTAATACACATTTTAAAGCGCAGCTTGCGAAATGCCAAGTGTTGTTATAAAGATGTCCAGCGTATTAGCAAGCTCTTGTTTTAAAATGGTTTGCTTAAGTTGGTAGAACCAAATTCCCAATAGGAAAATCACAGACATCACTGCCAGCAAATAGAGGGAACACTGTGTTCATCTGGTCATTGCGAGTACAGGGCAAGGATACACTCACAGCATTGCACCCTAGCCTAAACTATCCCTCAAGTAATAAATAGAACTCACAATTGAAAACTGTGTCGAAGTGACTGTGTCGAACTGGCTTACTTTTGTCTAAAACAAACAGTAATAGGTTAAAGATAGTAAAAATGGAGCAGAATGTGTTATTAATGTACATTCATTTAATTAGTATTTAGTCAACGTCTATGATTTATGGGATTAAGTTGGTCGAGCCTTATGCACTCAGACTTCACTTCCTAATGAACAGAGGACTAATAAATTACAGGGGAAATATGCAGCAGGCCAGGTGGCAAGTGCTACAGGATAAAACAATGCAGAGTGTAGGAAACCTCGCCAGCAAGTGTCCTGTTTGAAAGAGGATTAAAGGGATAAGATGCTGAGCCAGGCAGAAGAAACAGCAAGCACAGGGGCCCCGAGGCAGGAATGTGTTCGGGAATCTGAAACACTACTGAGTTCAAAGTGGCAAGAGCAGGTGTAGCGAGGGTAGTGGAGTGAGTTAGGGTAAGAGATGCTCCAAGAGTTCATGTGAGGCAGAGAAAACAGGAGTGAGAAGGAAAATCAGACTGTGGGGAGCCGTCGGAACCACTGCCAAGACGTTCCCTGCACTCTGTGATGGAAAGCCATGGACATAGGCCAGTTTTCTCACCACCTCGGTCAGTAGGAGCGTGTTAGATGATCACACAGAAAACTAAAGCAAGAAAGGGGTGTTGGCTTGGGTAGCATTAACAATTGCGAGAAATAAGAGCATTGGAGGATATCGGCAGACTCTGTTGATCTAGCTGAGGGGCAGGATGCGGACTCTGAAAGGAAGAGAACAGGCAGGAAGCCGAGCAGACAAGAGCGCAGCTGTAGGCTGTGTGCTCCCATGCAGGCTGGAAGTGAAGGGAAGAAGAGCCTTCACTGACTCTCATCTGACTCGTGGAGCAAAAGTGATCACCAGTGCACAGGGATGGGGAGTAGGGGAGAAGAGCGAGGAGAGAGAAAGGCAGGGCAGTTTTTAGGTGACCTTAACTGATCTTGAGTGAAATGTGATAGGATTGGCAAAAGCAGAGGTTGGAGATTCTCTCAAGCCATAATCAGGTGAGAAAGGAGGGGGTGGAAGGGCAGGGGGTTGTGGGGGAGGGGACAGGTAAGAAAGGAAGTAATCACTTCAACCTGTTTAAGGTTCTTTAGCAGAGTAAGAAGGAACCCAAGTGAGCAGGCATTTCCAGGGAAGGGGTTATTTCACAGGAATGGACTGTGGACGGAATCTAAGACAGATAAAGGGAAAACGGGAGGGGCTGAGGGAGAGAGAAGGCAAGAGACTTCGCTCAATACAAACTCCAAGGAGGCCAAAGAAGTGCTGGATTCTTGAGCAGAGGAGAGGATGGTGTTGCTGGTGGTGACATAAAGTGGCCACAGGAGTGGTGACGTCAGACAACTGGAGGACAAGAGAGAAAAGGAAGCTAAGGGATGGGAGAGCAGCCAGGAGCGAGAATGATTGAGTAAGAAATGGTGTTCACAACAGCACAGCTACAAAGGACAGCGAGGGTGGAGCTGGCAACCTTCCAGGCTTCAAGGAGGCAACAGGGAACAGGATGACCTAGAAATAGGAGGAAAATGTAGGACGATGCTTCCACTTGCAGACCTGCAAGATCTGGGTTTGTGATGGTTCCAAAACCATCCTCTGAAAAAATGGTCCCGAAATCTGGAAAGTTGTGCTTCATTTGGAGCAAAGATAAAGAGAATATAGAGAAAATATGACTTTGGCAACTTTTCTTTTACCGACTGAGTTTCAGGGGACACGAAGGAGAGCTGGGGAAGAAGAGGAGAGGGAAACAGAACCTTACAGAAGGGAGTTGCCATAGTTAAGTTAGGGTTTCTTTCCTTTTCTTTTCTTTTTTCTTTTTTTCATTTTCTTTTTCTTTCTTGGTTTTTAGAGACAAGGTTTCTCTGGCGCCTGCGCCACCATGGCCCAGCCTAGTTAGGGTTTCTATTGCTGCAAAGAAACACCATGACCAAAAGCAAGTTGGGAAGGACAGGGTTTATTTGGATTACACTTCTACAATATAGTCCATCAATGAAGGAAGTCAGGACAGGAACTCAAACAGGAAAGAAATCTGGAGGCAGGAGCTGTTGCAGAGGCCATGGAGGAGTGCTGCTTACTGGTTTGCTCATCATGGCTTTTTCAGTCTGCTTTCTTATTGAACCTAGGACCACCAGCCCAGGGATGGAGGCACCCACAATGGGCTGGGCACTCCCCCATCCAATCACTAATCAAGAAAATGCTCTACAGCTTTCTCTTATTAAGGGATTTTCTCAATTGAGGGTCCCTCCTTTCAGATGACTCTAGCTTGTGCCAAGATGACGTAAGATTAGCCAGAACAGGGGTTAAAGAATCTATACCATGGTAGTCTCAAGTCAGAGTCCTGGGCTTCCTCTGGTGGGTGACAGAGATGGAGATTAAAAAGTCTGAGTTTAATCCTGATGGCCTGAGACAGTGAGAAGCTGTAGGTGAGAGGGAGGGAAGAAGGGAGGCAAAGAGCTTTTCCTTACATGTAGAGTTCTGGAAACACGAAGGGCCTTTCCTCTTCTCTGGATGATGGGAAGTGAGGTCCAGGAGAGCCAAGAGCTCAGCAGAAGCACAGAGGGGATGTGATTTCCATGCTCTTCCTCTTCCTCTGCAGGTCCCATCCTTTTGTAGCGATGCTGGTGACATTGACTGCAGACTGGAGGACCTGACCAAAAAATACTGCATCGAATATAATTATGACTATGAAAATGGCTTTGCAATTGGTAATGGCATTATGTAGCGGTGGTGGGTGCAGGATAAATCAACCAAATGAAATTACTCCACAGGAGTGGTGAAAAAGAGAAAAAGAAAATTTAGCTTTTATTAATTTATTCATCAAGTGTTTTAGGACGGCTATATAATCTGATCATGTGATAATTCATTATGAATATCATAAATTTTGGTATGAAATGAACCACTTTCAAATATTAGCCAAAGCGCTTCAGGATAAAGGTCACCTTGTGATGGCAATTTAAAAATTGGCTTATCACATAATTAATCATAACAGTCAGAAAGTATTTAAGCAGTGATTTTTATCTGGCATCCATCCAATTGGCCTTGCAAGTAAGACAATGATACAAAATAATTATACACGAGGCGTATCCATATTTCTCACCCAGGTTATAAAATCCAGTTATTAAAATCTAGTACCTAAGTCTAAGCATAATTTCAGTCCAAGTAGGCTGAAAGTTTCTCTCCAGGAGTTTCTAAGTCTGGTAAATCAGTTTTCAATAATTGCCCCATAGCAGTTGTGGGGAACTATGTAGCGGAAATCACTAAAATGTCGACCCCAGCTTTTTACATACATACAGAAAGCAAACAAATCCTTGAAGACAGTTTCCCTAGGTGGCAGGCTCATGAACACAGCAAGTCTGTAAAGGACATAATTAAGGTCAGTGTGGCCAGGACAACATGGACGTCACTTAATTGGCTGACACACTGGGGTTTTGTAATGAGTCAGATATTAAACCAGGCGCTGCATATAAGCTGTCCCATCTTATTACAGACAATGAAGTCAGGCTCATTTCTCCATATATTAATGAAGGAATCAGAGTTCAGAAAGATGAAAGCAGCTGGCCCAGGTTATACAATTACGCGTCACACCTCATGGAGTGAAAATCTGGTGTCTGGCTGTTAGTCACAGCGCCAGCAGGGGCACCTCGCAAGTCACACACAGCCACGTCTTCTCCAGCGACACGAACATTACAGGCTGCCCTTGCCAGCTTCCCCCACCTTGAATACAGGAGGCAGATCTTTTACTATGTTCGTTAAGCTTATAAAGCCATTTTTAAATGGAGGAAGGATATAGAAGAGAAATAGGAAATGATGAGGCTCCCGCACCTCCTCCCTATTTCCCTCTGAGGTGAGAATAATCACCTGGGAACCGAAAGATGCCCGAAATCCTATATACTCTCAGAGGTAAATGGGTAATAGTCTCTAAATTAAAAGCAAAATACCCCCACAATGACAATTTAAGGTGATGGGCCAAATCCACTGTACGCCAGGGGCAATTGAATAGTTACTGCAGGCAGTTTGACTTGTGACATTAGAACCTGAACATGGAGGAAGATGTGCCTGTCTGATCTCTTGTTTCTCTGCCTCAGGACCAGGGGGCTGGGGTGCAGGTAACAGGCTGGATTACTCTTACGATCACTTCCTGGATGTTGTACAAGAAACACCTCCAGGTGTGGGCAAAGCAAGATCGGCGCGGATTAAAAGATCGGCCCCATCATCTGACCCCAAAATTCAGCTAATTTTTAACATCACAGGTAAGGATAAACTTTCCATTTGCCGAAAGAGTATGAAGTGAAATTTGGGGTTGGGAAGCTTGTTCTGACCTCTTTCGTGCCTCGTGTTTATTGGGAGGTGGCCCTGGAGAGAACTAGAGAGAGCGTGGCCAGCTAAACGTGGCCATGGTTTGCGGTTTAGGGTCACAGATGCGTTTTCTGATCCTTGCAGTAACCAATCCCTGCTTTCCTTGCATGTTGACAGGATGGACAGTAAGCGTATAGACTAATTCATCCTGTCATCATGAATCCCCTCAACAGGTGATGGTAACACAGTGTCTCAGAAAAGGACTCAAACATACATATTTCGTTCTTAATACAGCCCACATGTGACCTATTTAGTGAAAACGGATTGGCCTTATTCTGAATTAATTTCTTTCTCTGAAGGACTTTAAGATACCATTTCGTTGACGGCAAAAAAAAAAAAATGAGTATTACAGTTAGCACCTAACAGACCCTTTGCGTGGGTGTGAGTGCATGCGTGTGTGAGTGTGAATGTGTGTGTGCACGTGCATGTTTAATTGTGTTGTGTTTTTATCTTAGCTAGTGTGCCCCTGCCGGAGGAGAGAAACGATACCCTGGAATTGGCAAATCAGCAGCGACTCATCAAGACCTTGGAAACCATCACCAACCGCCTGAAAAACACCCTGAATAAGGAGCCCATGTACTCTTTCCAGCTTGCCTCGGAGATGGTGGTGGCTGACAGCAATTCCCTGGAGACAGAGAAGGCCTTTCTCTTCTGCAGACCGGGCTCTGTGCTGAGGGGGCGCATGTGTGGTAAGCCTCCCCTGGGACCCAGCTGTTTACTGTGCCCAGGGTCAAATGGCTGGGCACAGATGTCTTCCAAGTGTGTATAACGAGCATTGATACGAAACAGCCATTTTACACTGTTGTGTGGCTGCAACTACACTGTGTTGTCTCGAGAACCTGAGTATACACCATTGTTGAAGACGGGTAAAGTCTTTTATGTGGGGGAAACAAATCTTATTTTCAACTCTAGTTCTTTAAACCTCATAGTGGTGCAGGAGAAACGGCTCAGCATCCACATTTGGCAGCTCACAGCCACTGGGAACACTAGCTCCAGGGGTTCTGATTCCCTCTTCTGGGCCCCACTGACACTTGTGTGCACACCACACACACACGCACACACACACAAATAAATAAATAAGTAAACAAAAATAAATCTTAAAAACAAATAAAGTCTCATGACATTTTATCTATTATTTCAACAATAGCCCACACGTTTGACCATTTTTTGTATATCAGATCCACACCTCTTCCAGTTAATCTTGTTCAGCATCTCTATGGTGTACGGTTAATATTAGTACACAGTACAGATGAGAAAAGTGAACCCAGAGAGGTTCAGGACATACTCACAGAAAGTGATATAGCAGAGGTTTCCGAACTACACAGCCAATTCTAAAATCTTGACTTTTTTCCATTGGGGCAAAATTCACACAAATAAGTACTTTAAAATGTACAATTAAATGGTGTTAAGTTCATTCTCAGGGTGCAAACATTACTTCTGTCTACTTTCAGAACATCTTCAAAGTCTTGTCCTCACTAGTCATTCCCCACTCTTCCTCCCCAGCTCCTTAGCCTTACACTATACAGCTACATCACAATCTGGATTAACTCCAGCCTGATTCCTAAAGAGGCCATGGCACATGCTTGTGCTGCATCGCGGCTCCCAGTCTGCCCAAGAACTAATGCACATGGCAGTTTGGGGGTGGAAAATTAGAAATCCACTTTTAACAAGCACCCAGGTTCTAGTTATAACCACGAGCATCTCCGAGGCACCAGGCATAGAGTTCAAGTGTCTCTCTAGAATGCCAACTTTACTAACAGCCCGATCAGTGAGTTTTTCTATTTGACCTCAGAATGTCCATGCCACTACAAGTTATAAAATGGGCCTGTTTTCTTGGAGCCTCTGGATTAGAGGATGCCTTCATAGGGCGAGAACTCCTCTAGGCATGGCGAAGGCTCTTCCTCGCCTGTTCCGATCCTGCTGTGTCGACCTGTCTCTTGTCTCTAGAAACGACACTGTCATGGGCACATTTTGTTTTATGAGGGCGGGGAGCATGCAGAGAGACAATTTAGAAAACATTTGCAATATCACAAAGCCATCATGAGCTCATCTAATTATTCATTATTTTATCCTTGTCTTCTGGCAGGTTTTTGTTATTGTTGTTGTTAACTATGTATTTTCTATAATGCTATGGTTGGTCATAGCTTTTCTCCATTGTTTAAAGCCCCATTATTCCAACACTAAAACTGGTCAATAAAACTTATGCATCTCCTCAAAATAAAAATCTACCACTTGGGTTTGTAGAAATATATTTCTGGAAGGTCTACTCACTGTGGCTGTAAAACTCTGACAGTAAAATTTACACATTAATAATAGTACCTAGACACAAGCTTCATAAGAAAAAAAAGAACCCAAGGGTGCTGTGGTGGGGGGATCTGAATTTCCTGGCTGTTTTCTCCACAGTCAACTGCCCACTGGGAACCTATTACTCTCTGGAGCACTCCACCTGTGAAAGCTGCCTGATGGGATCCTATCAAGATGAGGAAGGGCAGCTGGAGTGTAAACTGTGTCCCCCCAGGACTCACACGGAGTATCTCCACTCGAGAAGCATCTCTGAATGCAAAGGTACAGGCTTCCAGGCTTGGACCGAGACCGGCTGGATTTCGTGTCCAGCTGCAATGGGAGAAAGGTTTCTTTGTCTGTCACTTGGTCTTGTCAAGGCTCCTGCATCAAAAGATAAATTAACAGGAGACAACCAAACTCATTAATTTAATCAATGTGTTATGTGGCACAGGAGCCTTTGGATGTGAAGACACAGTGAACCTAGGAAATGTGTGCATCATGCTGTGTTCGATGATGAGTTTGCTCATTGTGTCGTATGCTTCTTTCCAGCTCAGTGTAAGCAAGGCACCTACTCCTCCAGTGGGCTCGAGACCTGTGAGTCGTGTCCACTGGGTACTTATCAACCAGAATTTGGATCCCGGAGCTGCCTCGTATGCCCAGAAACCACCACGACTGTAAAAAGAGGAGCTGTAGACATCTCTGCTTGTGGAGGTTATCATTGATGCCTTGGATGTTTATATTTATTTACATATTAAGTTCTCTGCGTGGAGGAGTGGGATACTTTTAACAAAACTAAATGTCCACAGTATGCGAAGAATGTAAATAACTGTCTCTTCGTAAAGAGTTCCTTTCTCTCAGCTGCTCGGCACTTCAGGATAAACAATGGGCTCTCTGTGTATAGCACAAGGCTTCTATCCCAGGCCTCAGTAATACATATGAGGCTTCATGGGACCATAAAAATACAGGTTTCTGGATCCTGTCCCCAGAATTTTGATTCACTGGGTGTAACATGCATTTCTATCTGGTACTCAGATAATACCTACTTTTACAAGTTCAGGGATCACACTATGGCAAGCACTGGCTTAACCAGAAATGAAAAGGTCAGCACCCCACTTTGAATATGTCTAACACCCCAACTGAGTACAGTCAGCCAGCCAAACATTCCTGAAGATGTAAACAAAACTAGAAGATTAAAAGCTTCACACTATCTCAAAACCAGAAACTGAGAGTCCAAATTGACCTGTTATGGGCTGGGGAGGTGGCTCAGTCACTGAATGCTTGTTGTACGAGCATGCAGACCTAAGTTCAAATCGGCAGCACCCACGTGAGAAGCCAAACATGGCAACACACATGTATTCTCAAAAGTGGGAGGCAGGGACAGGAGGATCTCTGGGGCCAGCCAGTCTTACCCACCGATGATCTCCAGGTTCAGTGAGAGACCCTGTTTTAAACAATAAGATGGATAGTGACAGAGGAAGATACCCAATACTCACCTCTTGCCACACACACACAGACACACAAATGTATTCACACGCATGAACACATATACAAATGCATACACATACATGAACACATACAAATATATGCATACACATGAACACATACAAATATATACATATACATGAACACATACAAATATATACATACACGTGAACACATACACAAATGCATACACACATGAATACATATACAAATGCATATACACACGAACACGTATACAAATATATACACATGAACACATACACAAATGTATAACTATACATGAATGCACACTAATGTGTATATACATATGAACACACACGCACACCAGCCTGTTGCTAGAAACTCTGAAAGTTCGCTTCCCTGTAATGCTAGTGGAGCTGTATTCACAAGGAAAGGTTGCGGGACTGTCTCTACAGTACCACAGAGACTCGCAAGCAGGCCTGCATGGCGGCTCTTAAAAGTGTGCATCCTCCCATGCCACGTACTCTGGCGTAAAAGCCTAAGGTTTATGGCAAGCCAGAGAGTATGAAGATGGTTTTTTATTGAAAGGTTGCCAGCCTGCTCTGTGCCAGTTCTCCAGGCTACACAGCGAGCCATGCACACACATTCTTACTGAGCTACAGCCATACACAGCCACAGCAACCAGAAAGAGACTGAGATTCCTCGCTGCTGGCCAAGTGAGCAGTTTACCTGGGGCAGTGGAAGGGTACACCAGAGCTGTGTCTAACGAGACGTTGTCCTCAGAAGTTAAGAGCCATAGGACGTAGGAGAATGGACGTTGAATGCTAAGATTTATACATCTTCCCATTTGTTTAAACTGTCTCAGTGCACTAGGGTCATGGCAGATAAAAAATTTAGGCAGATTTCTTGAGTAGTGTTCATCAATGTAATGTTTCACCAAGAGTCAAGAAGAGAACTTTTTAGACCGTGGTTGAAGCCCATCCCATAAAAAATGCCTGTTGAGTCAAAGCAACCTCCAATTTTTGTTTTTATTGAAAAATCAAAGAATCACATTATGCTTAAAATGGATTTGCTAGACACTCTTTGATTTTGTTAAGATGTGAACTAACTTTGAAAGGAAGTCTGCAGCAAAATAAGTCTGCCCCTACTCCAACATCCTCCAACCACAAAGCAACTGGAATTTTTGCAGGGAAGCGAGTTCGTATTTGACTTTTCTTTTCACTTTCTAAATAAGCTTTGAGGGTTGTCTAATGCCAGCTTTGCAATTAAGCAATTCTAGTTCCCAGAATGTGGCCGAAATTCTGGGAAATGCCCCGTGTCTCCGAGTGTTCCTAGCACAGCCAGGCACATTCTTCTCAACACCAGCGAGCAGAAGGAATAACTTAGCTCTCTCTCTGTGGGCTTGGGCCAGCACTATTGTACTTTACAACTGACCCTAGCATATTCTCTCTTGGTTTCAACTTCCTTCCCTCCTTTTTCTTGTCTTTTCTTCCCTCCATCTGTCTCTCTTTCATTATTAATTTCTTTCTGTATTGATTGATGTTTAGAGATGTGTCATTCTGTATTTTGCTGAGTTTACCTTACATTTCTATGTTTCAACCTGCTCAAAATGGTCATAATCACTATAACAACAGTATGTTATGCGTTACTACCATGCTTATACAATACAACCTGTATGCATCTGATCTTTTCTTACATACATGTCCTTTGGCTTGTGGCTAAAAATCTGAAAGTTCTTGGTCCCATAAATGGCATCTGGTCGTCATTGTTGACGCATCCACCCCAAAGGACAAGGATCTATATTTTATGAGGACCAGAATGATACCACCTCTCACTCTGACCCTTTAGGGTGCATTAAGTGACCTCTGGCCTTGTCTTTGGAAACATATTAACTTATTCCTTTATTCATTTTTGTGTGTTTAAAGTGTGTTGCATGTGGCATGTTGCTATCATACTTATATGTCCACTGTAGTCCAACAAGTTCATGCATCGCACCGTCTCTGTGGGGTGGCTCCTGAAATCTGTTCTGAATTCTGTACTTCCCAGGTTACAACACAGTATTATCAAGTGTCCCATACATTTATTTAAAGGCCAAGTTTATTAAGCTCCATGGTTGTATTTGCTGTCCTTAACACCACCAATTAACAATAATTTGCAAGGTAATATTTTTCCCAGGCCATTTCGGTGTACTGTTTTAAATTTGACTTATTATTATCATAAATATTACTACTAATATTTGTAGTAAAGGAAATTGCTGCATTCTTTCCCCATGGCCAGGACATTAACACATGCATGTTCTATGTATGTTTCGCTTTATATTATGTACTAAATCATACTGCAATGAAAACATGTGCCTTTGTTTACTGCATATATAAAGATTACCATTTTTCAATTTTCTTTTTTCTTCTTTCTTTGATTTTTTTTTAGGCAGGGTTTCTCTGTGCAACAGCCCTGGCTATCCTGGAACTCACTCTGTAAACCAGGCTGGCCTAGAATTCACAGACATCCACCTGCTTCTGCCTCCCGAGTGCTGGGATTAAAGGCGTGCATTACTACCACCCAGTCCCATTTTTTGTCTTATACTATCAGCTGGCAAATTGAACTAGGTGTCTGGGACTTCCTTTTCCAATAGAAAGAGGGGATGCAAGTGTTTCAATAGCTTTCTCACAAGCAACAGCGAGGGAACTTATCTGAAATGTAGAGTCATCTCACACACACACACACACACACACACACACACAGACAATCTTTTTTTTTCCTTTGTAGTGCCCTGTCCAGTAGGAGAATTCTCCCGCTCTGGGCTCACACCCTGCTATCCATGCCCTCGAGACTATTACCAGCCCAACGCAGGGAAGTCCTTCTGCCTAGCTTGTCCCTTTTATGGAACCACAACCATCACCGGTGCCACGTCTATCACGGATTGCTCAAGTGAGTTCTCAGACTTTATCCCGGGGTCTTGCCTGTGCCTCTCTGGTCTCTTCTGTGCTGAGCATCACCATGTCAGGTGGACTCGTAAATCAATTTTAGTATATTTATTATTTACGTACTCGTTTGTGTGCATGCATGTGTGCGCATGCATGTGTATGTCTGTGCACATGTGTGCATATACACACGTGTATCCAACAACACTCATCTGGAGGGCAAACACCAGCTTACAGGAATCATAACTTACAACTTTCACCATGTGTGTCCTGGGATTGAACTTAGGCCACCATTCTTGATTGGCAAGTGCTTTTACTCATGGAGCCGTCCTACTGGCTCCTTTTATGATCTTTTTGATGACAAGACTGAAAGAATTATTTTGGAAACTTTGCACTTGGTAACTTCCAAGTGTCTCTCTCAGAGTCTCGGATAGAAGGACATGCCACCCATGGCTGCCTTCCTGTTTAGTCGTACTGAAACAGAATACATGTGGCATGACTCACTCTGCAACCAGATCTTACCCTGAGTATGTGGAGAGCGTTTAATTACGAGCCTCACCCACCACCCGCTGACAGTTTTGCCTGTTTGTCTTGTTAGGTTTTAGCTCCACTTTCTCCGCAGCAGAAGAAAGCGTAGTGCCCCTTGCAGCTCCTGGATACACCCAGAAGAAGTATGAAGTCGGCAGCCAGGCGAGTCTGACCCCTGCACGGAGCATTGTTATTGATGGGGCGCTTAGAAACTAATTTGCTATTTTACATATCATAGAAAGCTGTGGGTGAAACCTTCATCAGGTTATGAATACTGTATAGGAATATTTAGCTATGATTCTTAATAAGCACTTTCAAAAAGTGCAACATTTAGTACCAAAAATTGGAGTTGTTTTCCCTGAAATGCCTGATATGTAGATGTGGGAGGCTTTGATCCACTAATTGGGCCATCATTGCGTTTAGCATAACTAAACTAATTGTTTTTCTTGTGTGTGTGTGTGTGTGTGTGTGTACGTGCACACGCACATGCACATGTGTGTATGTATGTATGTGTGCGTGTATGTGAGTGTGTGTATGTGCCTATGTGCATGCATGTATGTGTGTTTTTTTTAAATAGAGATATTTTGGGTAGATTCTGCTGTTACCCTTAATTCATCCTACCTAAGGGTCATAAGTCCCTTGCAATTGACATTTTTTAAACCAATGATACTATATTTCTTCTGCCAAACTCATACAGACCAACATAGTAAGCTGCAAGGGCTCCCTACATCGCATTTGAAAACGAGCTAGCTGAGCACAGACATCTGTAGGAACCGCTAAAGTAGTGGTGTGATGGAGCCCACAGGCCACTTTTAAATAAGAACGTATTAATGTCACACTAGAGGCTCTGTTTTATCTGGCCTTGGTTGAGCCCTATACTTCCTGTATTTCAAAGACATCTCTAATGGAGATGCAACCAGCATGCAACTGGCATGCAACATGCAATATGCAACCAACTCTTAGGAACACTGCATACATCAACCTCACTGAAGTATCATCATTTGAGCCCATGCATAGCAGCTCCTTTGATACAGCAATGGCCTAGCTAGCTTGAATGAACTCACCTGGAAGCAACAAGACACCATTAAGGCACCTAGGTAGGGATGCTCTGAAATGAACCGAGAGCTTTTCTGTGATACATGTCTTCTGCCCTGGTAGGTCTTTCACGAATGCTTCTTAAACCCTTGCCACAACAGTGGGACCTGCCAACAGCTTGGCCGTGGCTATGTCTGTCTCTGTCCACTCGGATATACAGGTAACATAAAGGAATGCTAATTTTAACACATTTTGTGTGAAATTGATGTAGCTACTGAGTCAGACTTTAAAATACTTAACACAGATTATAAGACATGTTAGGCCATGTTTGTGAGGAGAAATATTGGGTTGAACAAGGTAAAAGGTGTGCAGACTTAACAGCTTTTCTTTACACAGTTTGGAGAAAAAGAAAAAGCTCTTCACTATGAAAGTTGACACTATATCTGGGGGGTTAATTGGAATATAATCCCGAGTCATGTCCAAGGTTTTGTTCTAACACAAATTAAAGGCATAACACTCAACTTTGTCCAACACAAACATTTTAGGACAAATTCCTGGCTTCTTTCCTTGGTTACTCAAGAGTGGAAGTTCTTGTTCATAGATGAGAGTTGGTACTTTGTTTTTAGCTTCAGAAGAACTCCATGACTCTAGACTAGAGACTGTAGAAATAAGTAAGAATTATTTTTTACTTGTTATTTGGTTCACTTTACCAATGTGTCCAGAAACAATTTTAGGAGAAAATAAATGATATTTTTAATTGCAATTAATTTAAAGCAATCCCCTATTTTCTCTAAATGGGTTTTTTGCTTCAAAAAAGCATGTAGTGAATTCTGAAAGTTTTTCATGGAAAATTATATTTAAGTAGATTTCACCAAAAAAAGTAATAAGCAAAAGGAAAACTGGAAACAAAAGATAGCCAGAGGCTAGCAAGAATATTGGCATTTCATTTATCACAGCTGACTCATGTGTATGTGTTCTTGAAAAAAAAGTACTGACATTTCATAGGATATATGGACTTTGCAAAGCATGGTGGTACATGGCTTTAATCCCAGCATTGGCAGGCAGAGAACAGGGGATCTCTCTGAATTCAGGGCCAACTCGGTCTACAAAGTGAGTTCTAGGACAGCCATGGACACACAGTGTGATCTTATCTTAATAGACAGAAAAGAAGGGAGGGCAGGAGGGAGAGGTTTTTTATCTGAGAATTCTACACTTCAGTGATAGTTAAAAGTGTATAGGATATTGCATCTCATCCATTAGTGCATGCTGTCGTCATTCGGAAGGCTTGCCAAGCTGCAGATCACTGGACCCTGCAGAGTCTGGCAGTGCCAGCATTTCCGATTCAGTAGTGTAGGGTATGACTTGAAATGCAGCGTTTCTCCTCTGTCTGAAGGTGATGCTGATGCTGCTGAGCTGAAGATCACAGTCCCCTGGTTTCTAGCAGAGCTAGCCCAGACATCCTGTGTGTACCCTATGGGAAGACGATGCCCACTTTAGGGCATCTGGTTTATGAGCTAAGATTTAGAGAAACTTAACTCCACCTCACCCCTTGAGCCAGGTGACCTTGGTAGCAACTCTATATAGTTTTGTGGGGTTTGCTTTATGGTTAGCATAGCTTATGGCGCCTATTTAATCACTGCAAACTTCCCTCTCCATCCTCTTAATGTTTTAAGATATTTTGCTGTTTTCCTTGTAATGTTGTGAGATATCTTAAATCAAATCTATGTGGAAACATGAAGTGCCTTCATTAAACATGACTGGGTGGTAGCTCTTCCTTTCAGGTCTAGATTATGAAGAACATTGCTCTCAAGTGGTCAGGCATGTTTAATACTCCCTTACTTGGATTTATCATTCAGTGTTTGGTCTGCGTTTTAGGCTTAAAGTGTGAAACAGATATTGATGAATGCAGCTCACTGCCTTGCCTCAACGGTGGAATTTGTAGAGACCAAGTTGGGGGATTCACTTGTGAGTGCCCATCAGGTTATGTAGGTAAGGAGCAAGATCAGTGTCTTTACAATATAAGCCAAGTCTTGTTTTGGATTATGGGTGTACATTTGGAAAAGGCTCATTATTATATTATATTATATTATATTATTATGTAAGGAGAACAAGGTATCAATTTGTCCATATGAAACTGCTTATGGCTTATAAAATACTAAAATGGGCAAAGCTAGTTCCTTCTTTATCTACAAGATGTGCGACTTCAGAACCTCCAAATGTCCCTGAGCCTGTTTTTCTGGTTCCTAAGTGGAGATGAGGAAGTGAGATGGAACTTTGTCCTCAGGGAATGCCAGACCAGGACCAGGTCCCCCCACCTCTCCACTGTCACCTCACTGAAATCATGAACTCTGTGTGTGTGTGTGTGTGTGTGTGTGTGTGTGTGTGTGTGTGTGTGGTTTTTCCTCCAGACCAGTCACTTTTGTCACTACAGGCTCTGCTTCTCTCACACTCAAAGGCAATCGTGTGGTTAAGTGTACATCGTATTTACGTCAGAGAGCGGCAGCCCTTCCATAGCTTTTCTCTACAATTGTTCAGAACATCACCCTCACTGTCAGTTCCCTTGTTGAATTTCATCATAATGATTCTAGTATTGATTCTTATGGAACAGAATGTGTATCAGCCTTTCTCTTCGGTGCCACCAACCAGCTCCCAAATCAAAACAGGGCGACGTCGTATTAATTATGAATACTTGGCCTTATCTTAGCTCTTAATCTGTTTGTCTTTATCTACATTCTGCCTCGGGGAATTTTACCTTTTTCTCCATCTGTATGTCTTTCACTGCTTCTCATGTCTGACTGGCTGGCGGCCGCCTGACTCCTGGCCCTGCTCTTTTCTTCCTTATTCTCTCTTCTTTATTCTTTCTCTCTCTCTCTCTCTCTCTCTCTCTCTCTCTCTCTCTCTCTCTCTCTCTCTTCCTTATTCTCTCTCTCTCGGTCCTAGATTTCTCCTCCTACTTATTCTCTCTGCACGCCAGACCCACCTAGCCCTCTCCTGCCTAGCTATTGGCTGTTCAGCCTTTTAATAGACCAAATGTGTTACATTTCTGGTTACATGTTTTTTGAAATTCAAAAATGGAAGTGAAATATTTGTACCTGTGTATTTGGCCAAGAGCAAAAACTTTCACAGGCTCATTGGCCATGATTTCCGGTTGCTCCGTTCTCATTCTAAACAGCTTGTTTGAACAAAATTGAACGTTTTCTTCAGCTCAGAGACTCTGTGATTCTTCGCAGGCCAGCTATGTGAAGAAAACATAAATGAGTGTAGCTCCAGCCCTTGCTTGAATAAAGGAACCTGCACGGATGGCTTGGCCGGCTACCACTGTACCTGTGTGAGGGGGTATGCTGGTAAGAAGTCTGCGGTTCTCTCCTTTGTCTCAAAATTCTGTGAATAAAAGTTAGTGTGTCTACTAATACAATATCTAAATATTATCCTTGGGTTTTATGAACACACTACTGGAGATAAGTCATACAAATGATGTTCATTCAATGAATGTAAATGGATGCAAAATGTGATATTTTGCAAACTTAGGAAGGCAGTGTGGTTAAAGACATACGTGCTTCATTTTTAGGGGAAAAGTCCGAGGGGTAAAATGCTAATGAAGGAAAAACATGAGCTCAAAGAAACGAAGAAAAGGAGAACTAATTTATTGTCCTTTTAAACATTATTTCAGTTAGATGCCCATTGCTAAGCTAACCATAGTTTCAGAAGGAAGATAAACTAAGCTAAGTATCAAAACTGCGGAGTCCTGAAATGAGCCCACAAAGTCAGGGCTATTCAAAGAGGCACCATGAGCAGGCTAATGGCAGTGGCTCTGCAGCCCCTCTTCTGTGGGTGCACCCAAGGAGTCCCACTTGGCTCAGTTTCCTACGGAGGGAAATCATCCGAGCTCTTTCTCGTCCTCACCCCTCCCAGGTGTGCACTGTGAGACGGACATCAATGAATGCCAGTCGAGCCCCTGCCTAAATAACGCAGTTTGTAAAGACCAAGTTGGCGGGTTCTTGTGCAAATGCCCACCTGGATTTCTGGGTACTCGGTGTGAAAAAAACGTGGACGAGTGTCTCAGCCATCCGTGCCAAAACGGAGCCACGTGTAAGGATGGAGCCAACAGTTACAGGTAAAAGGCCAAGTCTAGAGTTTCACTTCATCTATTTCCTTGACTGAGCCGTCACTGTGCAGTCTCAGAAGAGTATTAGCTGCAAAGCCCCCAATCAGCTATCCCCACATGCTCACCCGAAGATAGGCACAGTAGAAGCTCACCACCACTTGCAATGCTAAGCAATGCAAAGCTAAGTCAAGATGTGAGCCTATAGTTTTTGTTGTTGTTGTTGTTGCTTTTTTTGGGAGGTGTGTGTGTGTGTGTCTATGTGTTTCTGTGTGTGTGTCTATGTGTTTCTGTGTGTGTGTGTCTATGTGTTTCTCTGTGTGTGTGTCTATGTGTCACCTTCAGACCATCGTCAAAGACAGCTCCAGGTGAATCTGCTAGTGTTGATATGATCTCCTTAAAGGAAAGTATTCCAATCACACAGAAAATTGCAAAAAATAATAAAAATGTGACTTCAGCTCTGTGGTTAGCAAATATTGGTGTTTACCTTATTTGATTCACACTTTTTTTAAGGAATACTTCCTAAATATAGAATTGGATATACTTTGCACACACACACACACACACGTTCTCATCCCCAGTGTCAACCAATATTGTGAAGTTCCTATATAGGCAGATAGAACTCACTTATGTTTTATATTTATTGCCTAAATCACATTCCTGAGCAGCCTATAGCGTGTCAGATGTTAGACAAGTGGGTCACACCCCAACAGTGCCATTTGTCACTTGTCACCCAGCGTGGTTTTCAAGTATTGTCAAGTAGATGCATTTGCTGTGGTTCATTTGTCAAAACGGCTGCTTAGTATCCATGACGTGACTATACCAGGGCGTGCTCTCCCATCTGTCCCGCTAGAGCACTGTCGTCATGGACACAGGATGCAGGATATGTACTCTTGTGCAGTGTAGTAGGCGCACAGGGCTCTGGGGGACAGGCTCTCAACCACCCTTGACGCTGAGGGATTGGGATTCTAATTTCCATCTCAGTCTCCCTGTTTCACAACACAGTGATCGGTACTTGTCATCATGGGATGTATTTTTTGTTGGAGTGTGTGGAGAAAACTGGTTGTGGCCACAAAGAGTAAGAATGAGGTTGAGACTCCCACCCCACCCCTGAGTGATAGCGGCGCTTTCTTGAGTGACGTAACCACCGTAGCAAACTTTAACTCATCAGCACAGTGGGAATGACGTCAGCAATGTGGAGGTGATGTCAGCGTAGTAGGAATGACGTCGGCACAATGTTAATGATGCCAGCTCAATGGGAATGACATCATCATTGTGGGAGTGACTTCATCGCAGTGAGAGTGACGTTGGCACGGTGGGAATGACGCCAACATTATCTTATTGCTACAGAACTGGCATAATAAACTAAAAGGTGTTAGAATAGGACCTGAACTATCCATGTTTCCCTAGGACTTTCTGTGGGGAAAGAGCTCACATAAACTAGATTTCACTTGGATCGGAATTCCTTTTTACTTTATTTTGTTCTGTTTATGCTGCAGAGTGTCTTAAAGGTGTTCAGTCACAATCAGATGAAAGGGAAAATTAGGCGCAACTTCAGTGCTTTCTGGATTGCAGGATAGGTTTTAGCATTTCAGTCTTCCAAGTCTTCTGAGACAGGTTGTCCTAAGTCAGGGACACAGTTTCTCTAATGGATCCTCTAATGGTTCCTGGTGCTGCATTCTATTTTCTTCCAGATGCCAGTGCCCAGCAGGCTTCACGGGGCCACACTGCGAACTGAACATCAATGAATGTCAGTCCAACCCATGTAAGAACCAGGCCACCTGCGTGGATGAGCTGAACGCATACAGTTGTAAATGTCGGCCGGGATTTTCAGGCCACAGGTGTGAGACAGGTATGTATGAACTTGGGTGTGAGACAGGTGTGCATGAACTCAGGTGTGAGACAGCGTATAAGAACTCAGGTGTGAGACAGGTGTGTATGAACTCGGTGTGAGACAGGTGTGTATGAACTCAGTGTGAGATAAGTGTATATGAACTCAGGTGCGAGACAGATGTGTATGAACTCAGGTATGAGACAGGTGTGTATAAACTCGGGCATGAGACAGGTGTGTATGAACTCAAGCGTGAGACAGGTGTGTATGAACTCAGGCATGAGACAGGTGTGTATGAACTCGAGCGTGAGACAGGTGTGTATGAACTCAAGCGTGAGACAGGTGTGTATGAACTCAGAATGACTGATAGCATTATTTAGAATAATTATAGAACAGGGCCAACCTTGGCCTATGCCATGTACTGCCCACACACCAGAGGCTCTGCTAAGCACCTGGCCCTTATTTCGTCTTCACGGCCATCTCTAAGCTGGGTACCGCTGTCCTTATCCCCAACAGTGTGGCTGGGGAGACTGAAGCTTAGACATCTAGGAGGGAAATGCAGAAAACCATTTGGCGGACCCTTCCATGTTTCCCTTCTAACCTTCTGCATGCACCCAGGCTCTGCCACGCACCAGCTGTACATTTATTATGTCTCCTCCTCCTTTCTCTTTGTCTTCCTTCTTTGTGCTCCTGCAGGTGTGTGTATGCGTGTGTGCATGTATGTGTGCATACATGTGAGAGTAGAAGCCAGAAATCAATGTCAACGGCTTTCCACTTTATTCCTTTTTGAGACAGAGTCTCTCGCTGAACCAAGGGCCCACTGTCTAGACTGGCAAACCCATGAGTTCTAGGGATCCCTCCACCTCTGCCTCCCACCCCTAGGATTATAGACGTGCCACCCTGTCTGGGTGTTTATGTGGGTGCTGCAGTTGGGAAATCATGTCCTCAAGCTTGCATAAGCTGGCACTTGGCCCACTAAGGCAGTGGTTCTCAGCCTTCCTACTGCTGCAACCCTTTAGTACAGTCCCTCGTGTTGTGCTGACCCCCAGCCATAAAATTATTTCATTGCTACTTCATAACTGTAATTTTGCTACTGTTATGAACCGTGATTAAAGACCCGTGTTTTCCAATGGTCTTAGGCAACCTTGTGACCCACAGGTTGAGAACCATTGCACTAACCTCTCACCCCCCCCAACCCCAATCTTGCTCATTTTAATGGCATTTTCACAATAGAAAGTTGAAAATTTGCAGTTACATAAATTTATTGGACTATGAAGAGCACGTTATGGCTTATGAATACGATGTAGAATATTTGAATCAATCTAGTTTTATTTGTTACCCCAACTGCTTCGTAAGTTTTGTTGGGAGAATGATTAGAGCGTTCTCGCGGCCATTTGGAATTGTGTGTGTGCTGTTATTAACCATATTTAACATGTAATGAAGTTGACCTCAAGCAAATGAACCAAATGAGTACTCATCTCTGAGACTGCGAACTTCTAATTATCATCTCTATTTCTTCCATGTGTCTAGAAAGGATACTTTTAAAAGCCACATGGCTTAGGCAATGAAGAGTGAGAGACAGCTAGGTCAGAGAGGCAATAAATCAATGCTAATCTCCTCCCCCCCCACACACACACACAGGAGACAGAAGTCTTTGTGATAGAACAGGCTTTGCAGAGCTGAACAGGGGAAGAACTGAGCTGTTCGTCAGCTATGGAAAAGGCAGACGCCTGCGTGAGGGCAGATGCTGCCCTTGAGTTAGCCTCTCCCTCCTCTGTAGCCTCAACCCCTCGCTCCCCACAGTCCTTCCCATCAGAGTCCACTCCCTTATCAGCTCTCAGCCTTTCTACCCCTACAACCCTGTTCTTCTGCTCCCTTGCCCAGCTGTTATTATATCTACACACTAGTTAAATATATATAGATTAAATACGTATATTTCATAAGAACTCTCTGTTTAATTTTGAAATCACTTCCGCTCTCATCTTCGTGTTGGCTGAAGTTAGCTTCTTTGGAGCTTCTTGCCCACTGCTTTCCCCAGAGAGCTGGAGGCGCACAGGAATGCCACATTCTGCACACCCTCCTTATTTGTTGCAGAACAGCCTTCAGGCTTTAACCTGGATTTTGAAGTGTCTGGCATCTATGGGTATGTCATTCTGGATGGAGTGCTTCCGTCTCTCCATGCTATCACCTGTGCCTTCTGGATGAGATCCTCTGACGTCATCAACTATGGGACGCCAATCTCCTACGCTCTTGACGGCGACAAAGACAACACCTTCCTCCTGACCGATTATAATGGGTAAGCAGAAATGTTAGGATGGATGTGGTGGGGAAGGCTTCTCCTGACACCAGGTTAGAACTGAATCCTGCATAGGGCTCACCTTCTGACACTGGGGTTGGGAACTAAGGGACTTGGAGGATTGATTGACAGCAGTCAGCTAGAACTCCTAAACAAGCTCTATGGGAAAACAAGCATGGGTGTTGTCATGGGTATTGTTTCAGTTGATCTTAACAATGCCAGGAGGAAACACTGCCCCTTTTATAGACAGCAAAACAACATTTCAAAAAGCCTAAATAATTTGCCATGCCCTGCCCCTTACAAGTCATCTCTTGGGAGGTCAGGTCTAACTCTCGAGAGACTGATGCTCATTTTTACCTAGCAGGACATCCAAAGATTAGGGTCATCAGCAATACTTGTCTGTGGAAGACAGGTGTGTTGGGTAAGAACTAGCGCACAGCCTCATGGGTCCAAGGGGGCGGGCAGTCTGTATTCCTTTAAGAGCAATTGAACCTAACTCCAGAGTCCTTCCCTCTACACTGTCTGTAAAGTCATTCCAGTTGTATCTAGAGTTTTGTTGATGAGCCACGAACTTGGACAGCCCCCACCACTGGTGGCCTGTCCACACTAGTCATGTGGAGCTGCCCCCCAGCTTAGCTTCTGTCGTCCTATGAAGACCCTCCACTCTTTCCCACACTTGCCTTCCTCGGTGAGGCTTCAAGTCCAGCCCTTGTTCCGCAAGGCCCTTTCTTCTCAGGTTTACCCATCGAGTTGGCCTAATGAACAGGTTGCAGGTCCCATAGACCTCCCGGTGTGAGGGCTGGGCTGCCAGATCAGAGCCATGACAGGTTTCTAATAGCCCCTGACCAGGCCTGAGTTTTGGTTTATTGGAGGTGGCTGGAGCTGAGCAAACAGTTCTCAAGGAAAACCACAACTCAGGGGCAACCAATCAACAGACGCACCCTTGACCTTCTGCTGGCTCAGCAGGTGACCACAGTTTCCTGATAACTAAAGATAGCTTTCCCTACCCTCCTGCTGGAAAGTTTATTACCACTAGAGCCCCCAGACTATTCTCCCCTCACCACTCAGCCCCCAGACTAATCTCCCCTCACCAATCAGCCTCCAGACTAATCTCTCCTCACTGGAATTCCCTTAATCTGGTTTAAAAGGAGCCTGTGAGTTTCTCTTTTGGTACCCACGTGCTACCCCAACACGTTTGAATTAATAAAGCATTCTTGCTTGTTGAATATGTGACTGGTGGTCTTTTGTGGGACTTCTCATGGGCTCTACCAACTGGAACCTTCCTTCTTCTCAAGCTAGGGGACTCTCATTATTTTGGTAGAAATCTCATCAAACACAAGTCTTCTTAGTGAACTTGAACTTTCAGGGAGAAAAACACTCAAGGCATTGGCCAACACTTGAGGTCCAACGTGCCTGCTTGGCTAAAGAGAGGCGAGGGGAAAACATCTAGAGCAGAAACAGTGTGACAAGAATATTCCTCTCCTGTGGATGCTGCTGCTAGTGCCTGAGAAGACTTATTCTCCCCCTCCGCTTTCCACCATCATCTCCATTTGCCTTTGGACACTTTCCACTCTTTACTGTCTTTACAAGGCTCCCCTGAATGGTGGGGTCTCTGTAACCTTCTTTTGGTTCTTTTATTTGGGTGGATGTATTTGGGTTTCCTTATGATTAGTTTGACAACTGCCTTAGTCTGTTCAGGCTAATATTAAAAGCCTATGATAAGGTCGTGGTAGAATCAGGGACTTGAAGAGCCCCTTGCTGGTTCCCAGAGTCTCCCCAGGAATGTTCTTTCTGTGCCCTCAAAGGCTGAGGCAGCAAGGGGTTGATGATTCCTTCTGACCTCTTCTGAAGCTACGGTAATACTGTTCAGAGGGCCCTGTACTCAGGACCTGGTCACCCCCAAAGGCCTCCCTTCTTATACTGACAGATGGTTAGTTAGGACTTTGAACACACAGTTTTTGAGGGAACACAGATACCCAGGCAATAGTAGAAGCCCTGAAACATACTCTCTTCCTATGGGTATCAGAAGTTTGCTCCTGGTTTTGGAAAACACCTATTCTCAAGGAAGGCTCTCAGACATTTCAGCAGCTCCTGCTCCTTCTTGACTTTCCAAAGGGCAATAAATTGTTTCAATTATCTTGGCTTATCCTAAGACTTTTTCTCACTAATCAGTGTTTACATTGATTGAGCTAGAATTTAGTGTAATTAGTAGCTCAGATCTGCTTCTAAAATATTATGAGATGGAGGGGGGAATGACTAATGGATTACACAAGTTACTTCACATGTGCATACACACACACACACACACACACAAATACACACACGAGATAAAGTGTAACACGCCCCAGGGAAAGAACAGGGTGACCATTGACTATATTCCCTGGATTCTTTCTCTCTACAGCTGGGTCCTTTATGTGAATGGAAAAGAAAAGATCACCAACTGCCCCTCCGTAAATGACGGCTCTTGGCATCATATTGCAATCACATGGACAAGCACTGGAGGAGTCTGGAGGGTCTATATCGATGGGAAATTATCTGACAGTGGTACAGGCCTCTCCATTGGCAAAGCCATACCTGGTATGTTTTAGTAAAATGAGTATGTGTGTGTGTGAGACTCTGGAGGCAGCCATACTTACACAGACGTGACGTTGGCCAGCTTTGTGGTCAGTGCTTACAGGCAAAGATCCACAGTTATGGCTCTCACCAACCATCAGCTGTCTAGACTGTAGCTGTCAGACCCTTTTTCCGAGTGAAGTGCATGGCTGTGTAAGCAATGCCTTTGGGGATCTTGGTTTGACCAAGAAGCAAGCTGAGCTAAGAGTGTTTATTAAGCTGTCTTCTGAGGAAGTGATTGGTTATTGATGGACCCTCCTTGCTTGCTTACTGTTTTTGAGGGGCTTTCTGTTTTGTTTTGGGACTGTGTATATAAGCTGAGACATGGCACATTTTCCAGCTTTTGTGTCCTTTCTCAGGTAGAACTCTTTCCTCTGAAGTCACTTCGACTATTCAGGGAGCTTTCGTTTGAAAATTACCAAAGACTTCCTTGGCAAGAAAGTTGACCTGTGTAGATACCGCCATGGAAGAGCTGTGTAGATGTCATTATCCTTCACTTTCCTCATGTTTCCAATACTTAAAAACAGTAGGTAAAATAAAAATCAACTAAAATAACTTAAATATTAAAAATGAATGATTATCTTCTAGAAGCAAGTTATATTGAACCAAGGTAAATATAATAATTATATAACAAAAGATCAACCCTCATGGAAACGTGATGAGATCACCTTTGCAGAGCCGCAAAACAGATATTTAATTTGTATTTTAGGAGCTATGTCCCTTCTTTTTTACTTTATAATACTAAAAGATAATAGAAATGGCATTAAAATTCATTTATTTGTGACAATAGAGAACATGTACTGAGAACCTGCCCCCTAAGTAGGGTCAACACTCATGAAAGTAGTGAATATCTAATGGTAAGCAAAAACTCACGTGATCACCGCCCTCTACAAGGCTTTAAATGATGGTAGAGGGGTGATATGTGTTTTGGATCCGTAATCCCATGCAGATCAAGCTGAAGTAATCACTGTCGAGGAATGGGACATAGCTCCATGACAGCCCACAGTCATGGAACTGGGAAGAGTAGATGCTAATGAAGGCTAAGGAGGTGTTTTTCCTGAGTCCTAAGGCTAGCCAAATGTTGACCAATGAAGAGATTTAGGCTTCATTAAACGAACTAAACGAAGACCAAATGGCAAAATCTGGAATGCAGATGAGACAGAAGATGTTCTGTGCCCTGCTCGAGCCTGTAGAAAAGGGTCGTGGCCAACCATACAAAGTTTTGTAGGGCAGATTAGCAACCGAGGTTTTCCTGTTCCCTGTGGTGGGGTGCCTCACTCAGCCTTGATGCAGGGGAAAGGACATTGGCCCTGCCTCAACTTGATACTCCATGCTTTGTTGACTCCCATGGGTGGCCTTACCCTTTCTGAATGGAGAAGGAAGAGGAGCAGATGGGGGAGGGAGGTAGAACGGAGGTGAGGAGAGAAGATGGGAGGTGAGGAGGGAGGAAAAACTGTAGTTGGTATGTAAAATAAATAAAAAAAATTAATTAAAAGAAAACAATTGAGGTTTTCATCCTAAAGTTAATGGCCTTTAAAGTGGAGCAGTCATCCCAGGCATGGTCAGAATGAAGCAATAAGGTGTGTGTGTGTGTGTGTGTGTGTGTGTGTGTGTGTGTGTGTGTGTGTAAACACACCATATAGTTGTAGTCCTCCTCTGGTATTTTACTCCTTTGCCCTGAAACTGCATCTTTTATCTGAATAAAACTAACCCTTAGTCAAACATGTCTTCATAACCTCTTCTCTCCCTCTTCCCCTCTCCCTCACCCCCGCAGGTCTTCCTTTCTGAATACTTCCATGTTTGTACTCCCGAGCTATACTGTAAAGGGGTTTGAGTTCATATCCTCTCTTAGAATTACAGTCTCGCAGGCAGAAAAGCTTTCTGCTGTTTTCACACCCGTGCACTTCCAGCCCTGGTGTTGCAGCCGGCGCATCATTGGGAGCTGCATAAGTGCCTGCCACATTCACCGAGCTTTCACTGAAGGCTGAGGCAGAGTTGGCTAGACAAGAAAGAGGGGAAAGGCATCCAAGATGTAAGAAACTCTGAGATCAGAGGCAGGGAGCCTGATGGGCTCGCCCTCCATCGACACAAACGTGATTTCAATCTGTCCATGTTGCTAGGCCATGCAGTAAAGTTCCATAACTGAGCTTCGATGACCCCGGCATCCAGTTGTATTACCTATCCTTTCGTGACATTAGCATTTGGGGAACAAGAAACCATGAGGCCAGTTTTCTTCTTCTTTATTCTCATGCTGCGTCCCCCCTTCTCTTTCTCTCTCTCTATCTAGGTGGTGGTGCCTTAGTTCTTGGGCAAGAGCAAGACAAAAAAGGAGAGGGATTCAACCCAGCTGAATCTTTTGTGGGCTCCATAAGCCAACTCAACCTCTGGGACTATGTCCTGTCTCCACAGCAGGTCAATTCCATTTTCAGTGTATGACAGTAATGAGATACACAGGTACAAACCTAGCAAAACCACGAATAGTCTAATGATGACCTTATCTATTCGTAAACTCCTAATTAGCAAGATTTATCACTGATCTTGGAGAGCGTGGTCTGTTAGGCGGATGTTATCTACAGTGATTTCCGGTCATGACCCTTTTAGTTTTTCAGTGATGTTCTAACAATTAAATGGGGATGTGTATCTTGTGGAATATTCATTTCTTAGATGGAAAGAGCCTGTATTTTGAGAATACAGGTGTCAGAACATCCACAGATGTCAACAGATTTGTACGTCAACTGGGGATTGAATCCAAACAGCCTGAGATCCAAGCACACAGCTCAACCACAGTCTTTCTGGGATGATTTTGATCATGTTGTTCCATCTCTTTATCCTTCATTTTTCTTAACTATGAAGGAGAGAGAAAGACATCTATGTAAAAGAGTTCTGCAACATTAACATAAGACCACCTACATACTTGTGGGATTGTTTATTCCACAGCTATGGTTTGATAAGTATTTACTCTCAAAAATCATACTGATAGATGGAACTGGAAAGATAGCTCAGAGGTCTAGAACACTTGCGATTCTTGCAAAGGACCCAAGTTCAGTTCCCAGAACCCAAGGGAGGCAGCTCACAACTGCCTGCAACTCCAGCTACAGAAATATGATGCCCTCTTCAGGTCACTTCAAGCACCTGCACACAGTGTGCACGCAGGCACAAGCATAAATAACATCTTTTGAAAAAAATCATGGCTTAACCAACCTTAACATCTAGACAAGAAACTTTATGCAAAGGATTTCAGAATTGCAGGCAACCATGAGTCTATAAGTGGAAGAAATACTAGGAAGACCTAATCGTGGGGATTGAATAAAGAAGGGAAATTTCCTGTGGCCTTTGCAATCATACTAGACGAGAATATGTTTCTGCCTCTGCCACAACCATCTGTGACTTTTCAACTTGTGATGTGCAAGCTGCAGGTTAGTAGAAGTTTTATCTAAAAGCATGTTTTAAACTCACAGGTGAAGTCGCTGGCCAGCTCCTGCCCAGAGGAACTCAGTCGGGGAAACGTGTTAGCCTGGCCTGATTTCTTGTCAGGAATCACAGGGAAGGTGAAAGTTGACTCCAGAAGCATATTCTGTTCTGGTGAGGATTTCTATCTTACACCAACTTTGCCATGCCTTGGCTTTTCTGGAATGTTCTGTCGAAAGCACATAATTCAGAATTCTCTTGGGACCGCATCGTGGCACCTGTCAGCCGGCCCCTTAACTGGAATTCACCTCTACCTCATGTTCATCCAAAGGGTGTTTTGATTACTGACATTATTTCTGCACAGCAGACTACAAAGTAATTGGGCAGGATATTTGGGTGAAGATAAAATAAGTTTCAAAGATGGATGGGGATTTCTGAGTTTGTGTTGTTTTTACTTTCCGAGATTTTTATTTTATTTTTATACATATGTGTTCCCTACACGTATGTATATGCACCACACCAGTGCCTGGTGCCCATGAAGGCCAGCTAAGGGCGCTGGTTCCTCTGGCACTGGAGCTAAGGGTGGTTGAGAATGTCAGTGTGGGTCCTAGGAACAAAACCTGGTTCTCTACAGAGCAACCAGGGCTCTTACCCACTAAACCATCTCTCCAGGCCTCTCTTTGTTTATAATAATCGCCAAATCCCTAGGTTCCTATTTGAGATGGGAATACTTTTGTGAAATAGATAAACCAATGCCTGTCCTCACCCACACCCTGGACATTCCCTCTGGATAATCCAAACTATTTCCAAAAATCAATGAATTAATTTGAAAAGTGTTGTGGAAATCATGGATTTAGACAATTACTGGTGTGCTGCTGTCCCACAATGCCATTTGTTCCTTTAAAAATACCTGACAGATTTCAGATGGATGGGAAAAAATTACTTGATAAAAATAAAATCTTTTCTTACCATTTTCTTTGTCAGTGACGGGGTGCATGAAAACTTGTTTTGATTCGGTAAAGCTGGTTCCCTCCTGTGCAAAAGAGAGTTTGAGCTCCCTGACTCCACGGCCCTGCTGCTGTCTTGCTAAGATGCTCTGTGCCTGTGTTCTTTGCCCTCAGATTGCCCATCTTTAGAAGGAACCATACCACACCTGAGAACTGCGTCAGGAGATCGAAAGCCGGGCTCCAAAGTCAGCCTGTTCTGTGATCCCGGCTTCCAGATAGTCGGGAATCCTGTGCAGTACTGTCTGAACCAAGGGCAGTGGACACAACCACTCCCTCACTGTGAACGTGAGCAGTCTTTGTTCGACTCACCTGGGTGGCTCTGGAAAGTTAGGGCACCCATACAAGCATGTGCGGAATGCTAGATAAATGCTCCCGCTCTGCTGTAGCAAACCCAGCAAACATTCGTCAAGTCCTTGCTCTGTGTAAGAGACTAGGCCAGGCACCATGTGGGAGGTGAATGATGAGGACGCAGAGACCCCTCACAAACGCATCCACGGTGGTAGCGTGGACCTAGAGAGGAGTGAAATAAGGAGCTGTAGGCTGGAGAGCTGCCCTCAGGTGTGCCCTTGCTGGACGAGGAAAGAGGAGCACACGTCTTCAGCTGAGCGTATCTGCTCGTTCACTGCCTCACCAAGTTTTAAAATACTGACCTTATTTACACGTTGATATATGTTCTAGAGAGGCTGGCCCTGTCCTTGTGTTTACATTCTGGCAGAAGAGGCAGAAAAAAAAAAATAAGCAAGTGCACACAGTAATGTTTATTTATAATGAAGAATAATGATAAAGGCCAGAAAGCTAAGCAAGCGGCGGGGCCAGGGGAATGAAGTGAGGAGATTTGTACGGCCAAGACTGCTGCCTCGGATAGAGAAGAGCAGCTCCCGTCCCACACACTGTGCATTTATCATCTTGTCTGTCCACTCCACCGGACAGGAAGTGCCGCAAAGCAGGGATCCCTTCTACTTGGCGCCCTGATGTAAATCTAGCACCTACAACAGTGCCTGATGGGTAGAAAAAGTGCCACGGGTGTTTTTAAAGAAGGAATGAGTTCATGGCTTCTGTGAACCAGACAGTGTGCCCCATGCTGACAGCCCTTGCATCCCCCAGCAATGCGGAGCACTCTCCAGCCAATGTCTGTGTTCAGTAGGGAAAGTCCCAGGCAGCTGTGTGAAACTAGGTTAGCTGTCCTTTGAGCGTTTTGCTCCGACTGCAGTGTGTTCCTCCGCCCCATCCAGGTATTCACTGCGGGCTGCCTCCCGCCTTGGAGAACGGCTTCTATTCAGCTGAGGACTTCCATGCTGGCAGCACTGTGACCTATCAGTGCAACAACGGCTACTATTTGCTGGGCGACTCCAGAATGTTCTGTACAGACAACGGGAGCTGGAATGGCATTTCACCATCCTGTCTCGGTGAGATGAACACTGGCCACGGCTGTGCGGATTCGGTCACAGTCTTTGGAAAACATTTACCACAAATCCAAGGCTCTCCTGGCATCCCCGTTGACCCCACCCCAGAAAGCCCTGGACAAGGGGGTAACGGCAAAGTGGCTGTTTCTTCCCCGAGGAGCCAAAAAGTTCCTCGTTTTAATCAAGTTCAATATTAAGACTGTGTTCTCCATCCCTGTTTCTCTGCTTGCCTACCAGCTGAGGAAGTAGTAGATGCTATTGTTTATTTGCAATGTAATCACCGTGGTTGCATCTAAATTTCATGAAAAGACATACAGTGGGTCTGGAGAGATGGCTCAGGGGTTAAGAGCACTGGCTACTCGTCCAGAGGTCCTGAGTTCAATTCCCAGCAGCCACATGCTGGCTCGCAACCATCTATAATAGGATCTGATGCTCTCTTCTGGCCTGCAGGGATATATGCAGAGCACTCAAACACTCATACATGAAATATAAATAGAAAATATTAACGGATGCATTCAGTGCTATGTGTTACGTGATATGTAGTGACCTAGAGGCAAAACCAAATGCTTGACGCATAAGAACAACAAACCCACTGGACCATGTGTGATCTGTCTTCATTTCAGACGTTGACGAGTGTGCAATCGGGTCAGACTGTAACGAACATGCCTCCTGCTTGAACACCAATGGATCTTACATCTGCTCGTGCGACCCACCATACACGGGAGACGGTAAAAACTGTGCAGGTATTGAAATTCTTATCTTTGGTGCTCATTTCCGGTGTGTATTTTAAGGGTGTGTTATTTAAAAACAAGACAGGAGTTTCATGTTCAAATGCCAAAGGGATATAGCATTCTTATCAAGGACACATAGTAACCATGAAAGATTCAATTAATTGGCATTGAACTTCCCCTGACTTCCCAGTTTCAGAAGCACAAAATTGAGCCAATGTTGTGGGATGTTAAAGTAAGTCACATAGTAGAAGAATAACAGTATATTCACGAGCATCTGCGCACACGTGTGTGCATACACACACACACACACGTGCACACATGCACACACTCAGGACTAGGAAAACATGTTGCTCTTGAAGAGGACCTGAGTTTGATTCCTAACACCCACACTGGGCAGCTCACAACTACCTATAAATACAACTCCAAGAGGATCTGACTGCCCTGGTCTCCATGGACACCAGCACTTGAGTGTGCCTACCCACAGACCATACACATAATTTAGACTAATGAATCATTTGAAAACATTCAAACTGACTTAAAAATACTGTTTAAATGTTATCCAATGTTTCTTCTGGCTAATATCCAGCAAGTCCCTGGCCTTTGTGCCTCTTCCTTCAAGAACCTTTGTACCGTGTTCACAGTCCCCTTAACTGCTGTCGAATGCTTTTTGCTTTGACACTTTGTATGATTGTGTGATCGCCACTCAGTATTTCACAAAAACTTTCCTTCAAGAACCTGTAAAATGTAAGGCTCCAGAAAATCCAGAAAATGGCCACTCCTCAGGCGAGATTTATACGGTGGGTGCCGAAGTCACATTTTCCTGTGAGGAAGGGTACCAGCTGCTGGGCGTGAGCAAAGTCACGTGTTTGGAGAGCGGCGAGTGGGATCACGTCAGACCGTCCTGCGAAGGTACTTGGAGAAAACGGCCAGGCGTTACTGTGTTGGGCAGTTCTAGAGAGATAAAATGATTGACCTGGTAAATTCTAGGTCTTGTCAGTCTTTGTTCTGCAAGCCAGGTGTTGGGCTCAAGTTTAAACACCACAAGGGGATGCAGTCAGAAAGCCATGTGCTCTCGGAGGCCTTTGCACAGAGTCTCAGCAAACTGCCCTTTCTGTTTCCCTCTCTCCAGCCATTTCCTGTGGCGCTCCGCCTGCTCCTGAAAACGGTGGTGTTGTTGGGTCAGTGTTTACGTTAGGCAGTAAGGTGACGTACAGGTGAGTGCCTAACCGTAAAGCTGTAGCGCAAGGCTGGGCACAATGGCCCAATCCTTCAATCCCAGCACTCGGGAGGCAGAGGCAGGAGGATCTCTGTGAGTTCGAGGTCAGCCTGAGTTGGAGGGCACAGAGAAGCCCTGTCTCCAAAAACAAAAGCAATAAGACAAAAAACAAACAAAAGATGTAAGACACGTGCTAATGGCATGCCAGCAGAGTACGGGGGGGGGGGGGGG